TACCTCACTCTCTACCACATGTATATTCCCAGTTCCTTTTACTCCCACTCATTAATTCTTCAACCACAGCAGGACCTCCCTGACCCACTTTACCAAGATGCAAAGGAACTGGAACACTCACGCATTCATCGTGGGAAGGTACAAACATAATTAACTATTGACAAATGCTTGGGGAAACAGTCTGGCAGCTTCTTGAAAAGTTAAAAACAACCTACCATTCAATCCAACCATTGCATTTGGAGGTACTTACACAAGAAAACAGAAAACTCATGTCCATATAAGGCTTGCACTGAATGTTCATAGCAGCTTTATTTATCATAGTCCCAAACTGGAAACAACCCACATATCCATCCACTGATGAACTGATAAATTGTGCTAAATCCACACCATGGAATACAACAAAACAATAATTTTTTAAAAACTACTGATATACAGCGACAAATCCTCTGAAACGGAAATGAGGACAACTACTCCATTCACAATATCCTCAAAAAAAATAAAATWCTTGGGAATCAACTTAACAAAAGAGGTGAAAGACTTATACAATGAAAACTACAGAACCCTAAAGAAAGATATAGAAGAAGACCTTAGAAGATGGAAAAATATACCCTGTTCATGGATAGGCAGAATTAACATCATCAAAATGGCGATATTACCAAAAGTTCTCTATAAGTTCAATGCAATGCCAATCAAAATCCCAACAGCATTTCTTGTAGAAATAGATAAAACAATCATGAAATTCATATGGAATAATAAAAGACCCAGAATAGCAAAAACAATGCTAAGCAGGAAGAGTGAATCAGGCRGKATAGCGATACCAGACTTCAAATTATACTACAGAGCAATAGTAACAAAAACAGCATGGTACTGGTACCAGAACAGGCGGGTGGACCAATGGTACAGAATAGAGGACACAGTAACCAATCCACAAAACTACAACTATCTTACATTTGATAAAGGGGCTAAAAGCATGCAATGGAGGAAGGATAGCATCTTCAACAAATGGTGCTGGGAAAACTGGAAATCCATTTGCATCAAAATGAAACTGAATCCCTTTCTCTCACCATGCACAAAAGTTAACTCAAAATGGATCAAGGAGCTTGATATTAAATCAGAGACACGGCGTCTGATAGAAGAAAAAGTTGGCTATGATCTACATACTGTGGGGTCGGTCTCCAAATTCCTCAATAGGACACCCATAGCGCAAGAGTTAACAACTAGAATCAACAAATGGGACTTACTCAAACTAAAAAGTTTTTTCTCAGCAAAAGAAACAATAAGAGAGATAAACAGGGAGCCTACATCCTGGGAACAAATCTTTACTCCACACACTTCAGATAGAGCCCTAATATCCAGAGTATAGAAAGAACTCAAAAAATTAGACAATAAGATAACAAATAACCCAGTCAACAAATGGGCCAAGGATCTGAACAGACACTTCTCAGAGGAGGACATACAATCAATCCACAAGTACATGAGAAAATGCTCACCATCTCTAGCAGTCAGAGAAAGGCAAATCAAAACCACCCTAAGATACCATCTCACTCCAGTAAGATTGGCAGCCATCATGAAGTCCAACAACAACAAGTGCTGGAGAGGATGCGGGGGAAAAGGGTACACTTGTTCATTGTTGGTGGGACTGCAAATTGGTGCAGCCAATTTGGAAAGCAGTATGGAGATTTCTTGGAAAGCTGGGAATGGAACCACCATTTGACCCAGCTATTCCCCTTCTCGGTCTATTCCCTAAAGACCTAATAAGAGCATGCTACAGGGACACTGCTACATCGATGTTCATAGCAGCACAATTCACGATAGCAAGATTGTGGAACCAACCTAGATGCCCTTCAATAGATGAATGGATAAAAAAAAATGTGGCATTTATACACAATGGAGTATTACTCTGCATTAAAAAATGACAAAATCATAGAATTTGGAGGGAAATGGATGGCATTAGAGCAGATTATGCTAAGTGAAGCTAGCCAATCCTTAAAAAACAAATGCCAAATGACTCCTTTGATATAAGGACAGGGTAGGGAGAAAGAGCTTGAGAAGAAGATTAACATTAAACAGGGATGAGAGGTGGGAGGGAAAGGGAGTGAGTAGGGAAATCGCATGGAAATGGAAGGTGATCCTCAGGGTTATACAAAATTACATATAAGAGGAAAGGAGGGGTAAGAGAAAAATAATACAAGTGGAAGAAATGATTTACAGTAGAAGGGGTAGAGAGAGAAAAGGGGAGGGGAGGGGAAGGGAGGGGAGGGGAGATAGGAGAGAATAGGATAGAAAGCAGAATACATCAGACACTAGAATGGCAATATGTAAATCAATGGAAGGGTAACTGATGTGATACAATAATCTGTATACGGGGTAAAATTGGGAGTTCATAACCCACTTGAATCAAACTGTGACATATGATATATTAAGAACTATGTAATGTTTTGAACGACCAACAATAAAAAAAAAAAGAAAAGAAACAAAATAAATAAATAAAAAGTATATGCTAGGGATAGGGGTATGATTCAGTGGTAGAGCACTTATCTAGCATGTACAAGGCCCTGGGTTCAATCCCCAGTACCAAAAAAAAAAAAAAAAAAAAAAAAAGAATATTCTAAAGACTATATTCTATTCCTTTGGTTGGAAATTAGATTTGGAATTTTAAGGTAGAGGACCTGAACTAGCTAGCCCATTGACTTGATGAAGCTAAACTCCTCTGGGTAATGCATTGAGATGTTCAAAAAGATTATTTGTACCCTTAGGCCATCCTGATGACCCAGGAAATGTCACTCACAAGTGACTTAAATCAAGTAGGCTATTAAATTCTTTTTAACAAAAGAAAAGCAGTTCAGATTCTTAATAATCACAAATAAAATTAAGAGGGTTGGGATGTGGCTGAAGCGGTAGTGCGCTTGCCTGGCATGCGTGCGGCCCGGGTTCAATCCTCAGCACCACATACCAACAAAGATGTTGTGTCCGCCGATAACCAAAAAATTAAAAAAATATTAAAAATTCTTTAAAAAAAAACAAATAAAATTAAGAAACATGTTGATTCTAGATTTAAAAAAACTACTGATATATAGAGTAACATGGATCAATCAAAATAATCAGGCTTAGTGAAATAAGCCAGAGAAAAAATTCATATTGTATGACATCACTTATATAAAGTTCTAGAAAATGGAGACTCACCCATAGTGACAGAAAGCAGACCAGAAAAGTTACCCAGGGAAGGRGTTGAGGTGGGAGTGCACACAAAGCAGTGTAAAGAACACTTTTGGAGGAAATGGCTGTGTTTACTATTTTTTCAAATGAAGGTGTGCAGTCTACTCAGTGTCAACAGCAGACAATTTAAGATCAGTTCTGTTGGCCTCGGCCTACCTGCCTGCTGCCACCACCATTGCCATTTGCAATACTCACTTCTCTCCCTTCTCGGGGATGGTTCACTTCCTTTTCTTTTTTGGAACCTTAGGATTCTTCTCTTCCAGSTAATACCTGGCTTTTCATTTCAMCAAAACTGATGCCAGATGTCTATTTCGTCATCCTCATTCCTCCGTCACTAATCCCCTTGGCCTGAATCCACAGGCTCTGTCTTCTTCCTTCTGTGGAGAAATCCTTGGGGCTCCTAGCTAAAGGGGTCTTTCTAGTCTTGGCTCTCTCTTCCCCTTGCTCAGGGACTTTGCTCAGCAATGTGCTATCTCCCCCTGCACCATCCAACATTCCTCTCTACTGGATTACTCCTACCAGCAAATGAATATCCTGAAATACTTTCCCCCATAAAATGCAACCGAATAAAACCTCCTTCTTATTTGACTACTCATCTCAACAGTTACTGCTCCATTTTTCTAATGTCGTTTTAGCAGAATTTCTGCTTGTTTCTGCTTCTTTAGTTCTCTCCCTTAAATTTACTACAACCAGGCCAGTGTCCCCCTCAGTCCACCAAACTGTTCTTGGCTCAGCTCATCAATGAACTCAGTATTGCCAAATCCACTGGCTAATTGTCAGTCTTAAAGCCACAATCCAAATGGTCTTCTCTTCATATTAATGTCAGGTTCCGTTTGCACATCTTCTCTCTAAAATGGTTCTTAGTCTACAGCCATAACACCCTGAGCATGCCTGATCTCACCCATCCTTGGAAGCTAAGCAGGGTCAGACCTGGTTAGTATTGGGTGGGAGAAATGTTTTCTATCCCTTGCTCTGAGAAAGGAGGTACTGAACTGTAAACAGTCTGAGAGCTCGGGTTGCTTTCAATCAACTGTTAGAATGTACTGCTATAATCTCAATGCCTAGGCTGGAGCAAAGCACAGGAGAAAGGCTGAATGGACACGGTGGAATGAATGAATATATGTGCAGCGCAGACAGTTCCTGGGCTGAGGAGGGTATGAGARGATGGACAGTTGATTTTTGTAGTTAGGCTCTAGAAAGTCTCCCACAAACACTGAATTTGTGGACATTGAAACAGTGCTTGTAGGAGAACTGCAAGGTGAGGTTTCCSTATAAGCTTTCTGGTCACAAAACTTCATCACCTGATCAATACTTAAGCTTGTTTTATGTGTGTTCCTGTTTATAGACCCCTTACTCAATACACACTGTTGATTCATTAACATTGAACTCACAGTCAATGGCATTGTAACTCACACCTGAACAAAACTTACCTAGCACTCCATAGGGTACAGCATGGCCTTCAGCACCATGCTTGGGAGCCATTTTAAATATGGAAATCATAACAAAAAGCACATAAATGTGAAAAACACGACACTAACTAGACTGTGAAAGGATACTTGCTTGTCACAGGACAGCTAAAAGCAGAAGGCAGAGTGAGGCCTCGCCCAGCCTCAGCTGGGGATGTGTGTGCTAGGTGACTTGGACTCTTTCCAATCTTTGCATGTCAGTGAATGATTATAAAAGCCAGGTGGGTATGGATTCGGGCTACATATAAACATGAATGGTAGGAGAATTTGCAAATAAGGAAACCACTATGAGGACTGACCACATCCATGTTTTCCTACCTTTCTGGGGCATGTGCAGTGCAGGCCAAGGGCTTCTCTCCTGGGTCGGTCCATGGCTGGGTGGGCTGCACGGTGCAAGGGATCAGGTAGATGGTGTACTCCCCGGAGTAGTCCTTCCTGGAAACAGACAGAGCAGACTGTGGTCATGGGAAACAACCTAGAGACTATTAATTGTTCCAGAAAGAAAGACCCAGATATATCCACCAATGTTCAGAAGGTGTTTTTGTGTAGCATCTAAGAACTTTACAAGTCTACAAACACCATTTTCAGGAACTCAACTCGGATTATTCTAACCTTTCAAGTATTATCCAGAGGTGTTAAATAGRGCTACTTTCATTTATTCAAGTTCTTTTTGTGAGGAAAGATGAGAAGTCACAATGCTTATAAAAACCTAACAGATTCAGGTGATGACAAAAAAGAATTGGCCTTTGGATTTCACTAAACTTGTTAGACAAAGTGTTCAGTGTTTCCTGTCCACAGATGCCTGTTCAATACATTCTCAAATGCAAAAGCTCTTAAGATGTGACTGTGTCAAGTGTTGCTCTTACAGAATAGGTGGCAAATGCCTCAGGATTACAGGATACCACTCCAGGGTCTAACAGAAGCAGTGTCCTGTGGAATACCCCCAGCCCATTTCATTAGATTCCCATCCCAGACTCTACAGCCTCATCCCTTTGTGAAACTGAGGAGCATGATCCCTCCTCACTGGAGATACTCATTGGGAATCTCCTTGTTTATAGAAAATACAGGAATTCTCTAGGTCCATGACCTTGAAGGCATGGGGCCTTTGTACCCCTCTCTTACTTAATTTCCCACAATCCTCCCTGGGTAGCAGCCTTATCCCTGGCGGGTCATCTAGAAAGCAGTCACACATCCAGAAACTTCCAGAAGATTCTTCAAGGGGCTTGGGAGGCTGTCATCCATTGAATGAAGAGCTGCTGCAAACTCTGATTTTAATTGTAATGAGTGATCTTTGAATAGTTCTAACATTTGCTGTGTTAATTTTGATGACATTTTAATATTTACCTATTTATTAGTTCTCTTTTCTCTGGTGCTAGTGATTGAACCCAGTGCCTCATGAACACAAGGCAAGTACTCTACCACTGAGCTACATTCTGTTATTATCTGTTTATTAGTAAAGTGATAGTAAAGATGTGGTATTTAAAAATAGTAAAAGTTTTGTGACACAGCTTGAGATGATTTTAGTGGAGTGGCACAGGCTGGGCACTGGGAAAGAGCCTAAGCCTGGCTTGGCTTTGCTACTGCTATGCTTGAATGACTTTGAGAAGCCATATGAACGTTTGCAGCCTTCATTTCTAAGCTTCTTCCCACTCTAATGTCTGTGTACCTGCAGTTTCCCCATAGGGTGCCTATCTTCCTCCAAAGCTTAGACTAGCAGAAAATGAGACCTAATATACTGTATTCGAATTACATGAAAATTGGCACCTATAATGTGATAGATGTCAAATACAACTTTCCTGCTGCTGGTGGTGCTGGCCTGACTTTTTAAAAGCAAGGTCCAGGCATGGATTTTTCTGCCTAATTGAATATTTCTGTTGATTATAGGTTACTATCACATGCAATGTGTACAGTAAATCAAAATGCAATAAATTAATTAAAAAAAAGAAAAGAAAATATAAGTATGTGAAGGGGGAGGAAATGTGTATAATAGTGGATGCATATGTACATATGTCTGAATAGATAGATATATGACATATAAGTTCCTCCCTGAAAATATTTTACTGCCTTTGTGTTAGAAAATTAATAAATATACAAATTCAAAGCAACTACAAAAAAAAAAAAAAAAAAAGTCAGGCCAGGCCATACTGATCCTCTGCTCAAACCCCAGGGCAGGGGGGCTTTTATTACAGCTCAATCAACACACTGGCTTATGGGGCCCTACACAGTGCCCTACCCAACTTCTCACTCYTCAACCTCATAGATTCTTAGCCTTTCCTTGACCTCTTCCCTGCAGCCTCACTGGTCTCCCTACTATTCCCTGGGCTTCCTGTAAATGCTGTCATCTCAGGACCTATGAGAGCAACCCTATTTCCAGATATCTGCCTACCCAACTCTCTCACCTTCTTCAAGTCTCTGTTCAAACTTCTTTGTGAGATCCACTGGGAATGTCCTAATTAAAATTATAATTTTTCCCATTCCAGGTTCCCCTTACCTGGCTCTGTGCTTTATTTTTCCATAATACTTATCAGCTTCTGACATACATTATACAGTCCAAGGTCACTTAGTGATGGGCACATATTCTGAAAAACGTGTCGTTAGGMTATTCAACATTGCTTGAGCATCATAGAGTGCACTTACACAAACCAAATGGCTATGACGTCACCAGTGGGCATCATCTTATAGGACTATTGTTGTCCCTATGTTGTTATGTGACAAGTGACCATAYTTTGATTATGGACTATGTCTATGGTTTTTGTGTCTTCTTACTTTTCTGTAAATCCTGTTTCAGGGATCTTTATTTTGTTTACTGTTATATTCAAAGTTCCCAAAACACTTTCTGTCGCACAGTAAAAGTTCGATAAATGTTTGGTCAAACAAATGAATGCAAAACAAATTGCATAATTTCCCAAGCCCTCAGTCTTCTTTTTCCCTATATTATTTAGGACAATTTCTTTTTTTAAAATTTTTAATTAAAAAAAATTTTTTTTCTAGTTATACATGACAGTAGAATGTATTTTGACATATCAGACATACATGAAGTATAACTTCCCATTCTGTAGTTGTACATGATGTTGAATCTAGGTCAATTTCTTCATTAACCCTGCAAATATGTCAAACACAGCCTAGATGCAGGTCTTCAATCCTGTTGTTCCCACCTCCTTTCTAAAATGGAAACATTTCCCATACTACAAATTTGCCCCACTTCCCCGAGGAAGGCTTGTACAATTCCCAGCCCCCACTGGGCCCTCTGCTCTCTGAACAACAATGGTTGTGATGTTCTGTACCTCTCAGTGCATTCAGTACAGAATGATTGGTGGTATCTTCATTTTGCCATTTATTTATCTATGTATTTTATCTCCTTACCTCAAAGGTAAGTTCCTAATGGCTGCTTATGTAGGAACTACTATGTCTAAAACCTGTAGTGGGATTTAAGGTGAATGAGACAAGCCTTTCACCTGGGGAAGCTTGCAATCAGGTGAACAAATGGAACCAGCCAATGGGACCATCATATGATAATCAGCTGTGATACAGTGGAAACTAGAACAAACTGGGGCCAGGAGGATGAAGCTATTAGCACTGAACAGTCAAGGAACTGTCCTAGAGGGATTAATTTTGAGTTGGGTCTCAGAGGAGTTGGACTTTTGCAGCAGTAAAAGACTAGGGAGGGTAGAGGAGATTGCCAAGGCAMGGGGGTATGGATGCTTTGGTGGGTTTAGGTGCTGGTGAGATACTGAATGTGGTTAGAAGACTGAGTTTGAGACTAGGCTCAGGGAGGGCGGGGCTTTATGTGCTTCAGGGGTGTGGACTCCATCCAGAGGACAATGAGGAGTCTGCTGAGAACTTAAAGCAGGACAGTTTTCTGCCTCTAAATTGGGACAATGTACATGGATAATCTCATGAGGTCCTAGGGAGCACCATCTCTGAAGATTACTGTGTTGATTCCAAAGGAATCATGATGTAATAAAAATACCTGATATAAAATAAAAAATTACAATTAAGGAAATCCTTAGGAAAATGATTAAGACAATCTACCATTTCTTAACTACAAAACTGGGACAAGATTTTCATGTTAGATATACCTCTTAATTTCATGGCCTATAAAAGAACAATGATAATATTTGTGACAGACTCTTGTTTGCCCCCTTTTCCTTTCCACAGTAGTTTTAATTTTGCTTTTCCCATTCTTCTTTTAAAAATGAGATATCCCACTACTTCCTATTCTTCTGTATGTTGTGTGGAGTCATGTGTAACTCTTTTCTAGTCATTGGGCCATAAAGGTGGATCTGGACCTAAAAACCAGAAATCCTAGATTTTGTACTGGTTCTGGTAATTGAAACAAAGTTTCTTTAGGATAAAATGTTTTAGTTGGATACATTTTCTGGCTTCTCTTTGAAGTGCCAAGAGACTAAGTTCCAGGCAGTGGGATGTGAGTAGAAGTGACCTGGGCCTCCTCTGGTCTTTCCCTTMGAATAAGCCTGATTACTTCCTGTCTTCAGCATCAGAAGTGGATTTGCTCTCTTTCTTTCTTTCTTTGATAGAGGGTTGTTTCTATGCTCCTTTTAAAATGGAAATTCAACCATCAAAGGAAAACCTTATGTCCCAAGCTTCTGAAAGCAACTGAAAACTTTTCAGATCAATTCTGTAAGCGTCTGTCATCTACTTACCTGTTATAGGAGCTTGTGGCTCTCCAGAGTTGATAAGGAGAATCAAAAGTCTGAGCACTCCACAAGAGCTGCAGGTCAAATTCAATTCCTCCTAGGTGGTCTGGAGTTAATATAAAGGATTTCACATCTGGGAGAGTGTGGTGCTCCATCACAAACTGTCCTATTTCAAGGGGAAAAATACACATACTTACGATTCGTGAGTTTTATTGTACTCAAGGTAAAACCCTTCTAAAAGCCTAAGAACTGAATTCATGCTGTTCTATCAAACAACTGAGGTTTTATCCTTTTGCCCCTTCAAGTATATCCCACATTGGTTGAGACAGCACAGCATCTAACCCCAACTGATCACCCCACTCATGGTGGCTGTCATGGAATACGGTACATGTGTAAACAATATTAATATGTCTCGTGAAAATGGGGTGGAGTTTACATACATCAAGGTGGTCATTATATGACTATGGATGTTGAATATACCTAGCTTTGAATTCAAGCCAACACGTTGATTGGACATAAAAAGGGTTAGAAKTTTATAAACAGAAATATCAATATTGGATAAAAATCACATTTAGGGTCACTAAAGTCCTTGATGGAAGGGGACTTCCATCAATTGTAAAATTGTAAATGCTATTAGGTGAAGGTTACTTAGCAAGACACCTCTGTTCTCTAAAAYACCAGTAACTGTTGTGAATGAACAGAAGTAGGTGGATTATTCTAGATTRAAGAGAAAAAAACTAAAGAGAGAAAACAACCAAAATGTAACAAGTGAAGCATGATGGAATTCACCTACCTTTTATACAAACAGGTTTAAAATAAATRTAAAGAAACATATAAACAATTAGAAAAGACTTTTGAGGGATAATAGAGGAAATACATATAGGAACTGAATATTATTGAATCAATGTTAAATATGTTGGAGGTGAAAATGGCTTTTGCATAAGAAAAACATCCTTGTTCTTTGGAGATAGCTACGAAAGTATTTACAGTAACTTGACRTGAAGACAGCAGCTTGTTTTCAAATGAAGTAACAAAATAAGGTACGTTTATGTATGTTCATACATGTAGAGTAAAATGATCACAACTGTTGACTTTGCTTTTTGTTGTTCTAGTTTTTCTACTTTTCTGCAGGTTCAAATTRCTTCTTAACAAAATGCTGGTTAAAAAACCCACACTGATATTACCTCTGAATTTGGCATGGGTCTTGAATTCAATGACGAGGCGGCCATCCTCTCGAATATAGATTCTTATTATCTGAAGCCTTGCAGAGAGCACACTGTCTGTCTGGATTCCTAGGCAGGCATACATAAAATGTCCAAATTATGGTCTGGAGAAGACCTTCAGAATGACAGCCTACTTTGAAGTTATCTCATGGTCATCTTTAAGTAAAGCTGTGTATTTATTTGATTGTGACACAAGAGAAAATTAATAGATTCTAGAGAAATATTTGCCATTAAATAGTATGACAGCTCATTCCACTTGGCTTTTTTTTTTAACAGTTCCTCTGTCTTTGACATAGACTCTTCATACATATAGATAGAGTTCATCCCATAGCTCTGAAAATAACAAATCTGAAATTTCTTAGCATCAAACTTTATAAACCAAGAAGTGATGACAGTGTATCTRCTTCATATTGTATTTTCCTTTCAGTATTAATAAAGTCATTAGTCCTGATGGCTACAGTTAGGACTCAAACCATTGGAGAAGTAGAGGGRAGCTTGCAGAAGGCCAGCTGTATAGACACGGCATGAGCAAGCTGTGGCTTCAGAAGACAACTGCAGTCATGATGCCCAGCAGGTTGATAAGGACCCCCCAAGAGAATAACTGAAGGAGAAAAATAAAGTTCAATAAAACCAAAGCCAAAATTCAAGGGATAATCTGGACCAACTTATTGGGAAAACCAAATTATCTTCCCATAAAGAATATAAAGTCAACAAATGATCTGAGCTTAAGCCACTTAAGCAAATTACTAGAGGCAAAGCCATCCCTAAAGAAAATTCCTGAAGCCCCATGTGTGCAGATAAAGTGCATCAGCTTTWTCTGGGGTGGGGGAGGGAGTAATGGGAGAAGTAGAAGTAAGGGGAAATGGGTTTGGGGTCCTGTTGAAGTATAGGACACTGGAAATGAGAAAAAGAATAGAACAACAAAACCAAGGACGCCCCATTGGAATGAGTGGAGGAGAGAACCTGGCAGTTTTAGGAGACATTTTTATAATAGCGGTGGGAGAAGGGGTATGTGTCCCCAGCGGGGATACTCAGTGGGGACACTCAGTGGGACTGAGGTGCGTGCTGCTGGCAGAGGGGCCWTCTCAGATCCAGCCCAGGGGGGCTCCTTGGAAAGGGGCAAAAATAGGGACAAGCCTGAGGGGAATATCATTTTAAAAATTCAGCATTGTTAAAATCTTTGTTTTTGAGAATCAACAAAGGAGCCAATAATGTCAAATGAATCAAGTAAGTCGCTTAACTTATCACATCAAGTGGTTCTGACATATTCCCATTTCCTTGCATCTAATTTGAAGATCCTTTGCTTCTTAAACAAGATGAACTACACTGTTTTTAACCAGGTGATGATCACACTCTATTAGAACAGGTACTCCCTGAATCCCTGATGGGCAGTCTAGGACCCACTGTCACTTGCCATCCTCTATTCTGGGCCCCTTCCGGGGTCAGCAGATATGGACATGGCTTTTTCTAAGGAACCATAGATATGCACTTTCYAGACTTCAGGCAGCAGTCCTGTGACTTTCTATAGGAAGTCAGGAATAGAGCTGCTRTCAACAGTCACTGCATATTTAATCTTGATTACTGAGTGTGAGGTAGGAACAGTGAAGCTGTCCATAGGCATACCTGTTCTCCAGAGGACTGTGTCATAGAAGAAGGAGAACTCCATCTCCGTGTGGTGCTCCAAAGAGGCCCAGCCCCTGGGGGCGGTCACATAGATGTAAGACACGTAGAGAGGCACGTGCACTGTCAGGAAGGACTGAGCRGAGTCCCTCACCTGGCAAGGAAACAGTATGCATGTGTAGAGGCTTATTGCTTCCCCAGGTGAAAGGGCACATGTGGTCATCACCTCAGTTCAATTTCCACTCACTCAGTCATGCACTCATCCAATAATTATCAAGAGCCCATAGCTGAACTTAATTTTTWAAAAAATTAAGTAAGGGCTGGGGATATAGCTCAATTGGTAGAGTGCTTGCCTTGCATGCACTAAGGCCCTGGTTCAATCCCCAGAACCACAAAAAAGAAATAAAGAGGGTAGAAAATGGTCAGGATGCTTCTTTAGATTGAATGATCTGCAATGCTTTTTTGAACAAAAGTTGTTTTTTTTGTTTGTTTGTTTTTAACAAAACACCTCTGAAGAGTGAGAATTAGCTTTACTTCTACTCTCTAGTTGCTAGAAGTCTTAGCTGAAAATTTAAAGTATCACAGTTATTCCCGAGTGATGGACCTGCTGGCTCTACCATTCACTGCATTCTCTYTCTGCTGATGGCTCGCAGGTGACCTGCAGGACAGCCGGAATCAACCATGACCGGGAAGAGGTCCAAGTCGGTCCCCTGGGAGGAACAGTGCCAGGCTCAGGAAGTTTTAGTGAGGATTCCTGCCTCCTGCTCCATAAACAAAGACCTGGAGATCATATCTGGGAAGCTAACAACACACAGCTCGGAGCTGTATATGGCTTTGATAATTTCCTATCCTGTAAATTGTGTTGGAAAGAACTTTGAAAAGGCAGCGGGAACACTTCTTTCTAAAAGGGTTCCTGCTATTAATTTGGCCCAACGATATTTATTTTACTATGAAATGAACAAAACTGGATGGAAAGATCACAAAAAAAATAGTAAAAGCTTTCATGGTAAAGCTAACTGGGTTTATGTGTGTAAGTGGTGGAGTTGTTTTATTCATTTTWAAAAATGTTTTATATATTTCTCCCCCAAAATATGAATTTATTTTTTTTAACAAAAAGCTAAGTTAGTTGGTGCAAAATAATTTTATTTTGTCATTGGACAAATACTATAACATATTAAGGGACTTATATTTCCTTTGGTTGAGGCAGGAAAGATGGACATCATTACCCTAGGTACATATATGACTGCACATATGGTGGGATGCTACATCATGTACAACCAGAGAAATGAAAAGTTGTGCTGCAATTGTGTACAATGAATCAAAATGCATAAAAAAATAGGCTCTGATAGCTTTAAAAATACAATGTAAAGGGATTTTTATGGATAATTAAGGAAAAGAACCAAATGCTTTATCAATATTCAAGACATTAAAAACTTAATTTTTCTAAAAAGTGTTTTTCATATTCAAAGTTGCTAGGGATTGAAAATTTGATGTCAGCTTTTTCAAAAGACTTGATAATTTCATATTCACTTAATGTCCCTTTTGGACATGACATATTCTGTTTTCTTTAGAAAATTTCCAGATATTTTCTGGATTTTATGCCACATCTATCCATTAAAACACAGCTTTTGCTAAATACACCTGCCCCAACCCCATAATTGTTCATATTAGAACCTTAACAATCCTTTAAATCCTTAATAATTTTTTGGAAAAATTTATTTTCCCCTCTTTGTTTCTCTCTCATTCTCTTTTAGACTTCAAACTTAAAAAGTAAAAATCCCCTGACAACTGTTGCTGCAGACCGATTTTATTCTAGAAACTGTGCTAGGTACTTTCGCATGTTGAGTTAGAGTCAGAATTTCAGAGGAGGCTCCAAGAAGTTTTATTTCATCCAATTCTGCTAATATTTGATAGAGAAAGATATAAACTAGGAATGGTTCGGGTTCTATATTTTTCTATGACATTTCAGCAATTCCAATTATTTTTAAAGAAACCAACAACAACAAAATACTTCTGTGTACATATTTTTTCTGTGTCAATTTAAAAAGTGGGGCAAAATTAATACAAAATCCTTGTCTTTGGAGTTTTGAAACATACTCTGAAAAAATCTAAATGTATAATCAAAGCAAAATAACGGAGAACAGAGAGTACTATTTTTTGATTGTTCCAGGAGAGGAACAATCATTTCTGCAATTTCCAGCAACTGTAGGTTATGCAACTGCAGAAATAGAAACAAAAACCCAAGACAGTCTTAAAATTCTATTCAGTAGAGGGCAGTAGTGTATACAAAACAAGAGGAATGGGGACAGAGATACTGCAAAGAACATAACAAAATTTAATCAAAGATACTTCCCCAAATGATTACGTCCTCCCCAAGTTCCTTCCTTCAGTGAGGTTAAACCTGATTTGAAATGAAGAACAAACACCTAGCTAATTTTTGTCTMTTTGAGATAAGTGCTCAAAATGGGATGAAAACTGTTTTAGGATTTATTTTCCCATGAGGATGGATGAGCCTAGTTTCTCTGCCTTTTGATACAACTGCCCTGCTCTTCTATGACCCTGGCTTCTTGCTATAAAATCTCCAGTTGTCACTAATGTTTATTTGTGTTCTCTCTCCCTCTCCATCCCACAGGGGTTGTTAGTTTGGAATAGGTATGGAATGGGTGTTTCCAACCGTTCTCTCCTCAGTGCTTGGGCCAACAGTGTTCTTCTTGTCTTCTGAAAATCGGGGTGTATACCTGCCTTTCTGACTCACWGCCCCAAGTGGGGAGGAGAATACATCTATGTGGTGATAACCTTGCTATCAAATGTAGATCTTTTCAACTTTACAAAATATACAGAGGGAAAAACAAAAATGCCCAGAGAAGTAAATATTAAATTTTTATGTAAATAACTGTGCCAAATAATAACCCACCCGCCCATTAACTTAATTTACAGGACATTGGGGTTTAGCCAYAATGCTGCCAAGATCTTACTTGGGAGACTTATAAAGAAGCATCCCTCAGTGGGTTGGCCCAGTTCTGGAAGCAAAGTGCGTTTTGAAGTCCTCCAGGAATGAACAGGGTTGGTACCGGCACCTATGTGCATGTAGCCCTTGAGCGGGAGCTACCAGAACACCCACCTGGAAGTCAGCAGTTACAGAGCCCCCGCAGACGTCAATGAGCTCCGTCATGTCATAATATGCATCAAAGGTCCACACACAGCTCTTCAGATTCAGGTGTTTGTATAGCTGGATGGTCTTTGGCTCCCGCACACTGGGGTCAAACTGGAAGGGGCGGTCATATCCAGGACCCAGGGCAGTGCTGTCATAGACCACATCATCCAGGAAGCCTGCCTCTGCCAGAGAGGGAAGGGACAAGGAATGGTAACTCAGCTTGAGGATGCCTAGAAGCTGGATAGGGAGAAGAGACTCATTTTTGACAGAGAGAGAGCTTTTTTCTCATTTGTCTATCAATAGAGCAACCCAGAGCTCCCAATGCAGAGTATGTGAGAAGAGCTTGTAAAGAGCATCACTGCCCATTGCCAGGTGTTACACAGAGTCCAGGTACAGGGAGGAAAAGGTGGACAAATGATACCATAAATGAAGAAAATAGATCTCAGAAAAGAAACACACTGTAGYTTCACCTGTACACCTGGCCAGTGTGGTTCTGTTTTACCTACTTCACAATCAGTCTTGAAGAATTGCATTTATTAGCTGGGTGTGGTGGTACACACCTAATCCCAGTGGCTTGGGAGGCTGAGGCAGGAGGATTGTGAGTTCAAAGCCAGCCTCAGTAACTTAGTGAGGCCCTAAGCAACTCAGTGAGATCTTGTCTCAAAATAAAATACAAAAAAGGGCTAGGGATGTGGCTCAGTGGTTAAGCACCCCTGGGTTCAATTCCCAGTACCAAAAAAGAAAAAAAGAAATGGATTTACTTCATGGATCATTCACTGACCAATTACTATTTCTGAAGACCAATTTAAAGAACAGCTTTTTTGGAAAGCCAGCAAACCAACATCAGAYTCTCTCTTCTCGCTCCCTCTATGGTTTCTGAACTTTGGGGAAAAATGTCTTAATGAGTAAATAGCTGGCTAATGAAGCTTGACTAAACCTCACCTGCTACAGGCAAAAATTATTGGATCAAAAGCTKCCAAGCAAGCGAACTATTCTGAATTAAAGCAGACCTTTATGCAGCACAGAGCTGAATACAGATACAATTTTTAGCACATTAAATTTAAAATTTTTATAGTACTAAAAGTGATGATAGAATTTTAAAAGAGTTAATGTATCTCTTAGAATGCCTGACACCAGCAATCAGCCTTTGTCCCACAAAGAAAAGGGACTCAATTGGCCTGTGTTGAATCCAATGGTTTTCAAACAGGAAGAGRTGCAAAGTTTCAGTGTTTAAACACGGTTATGTTTCCCCCACTAGCAGCTTATGGGAACCAATTTAACTTTGATGTGCAGCTCAATGATTTAAGAATATTCTGCCCTCAACTAATTCTACTGAATAAAGACCATCACTATCCAAAATGATGTTTAATGAATATGAAAGAGCATATGAATGCATTTCTTCAAAAACACTGTTAAATGATTCACTAGTTGTGAGGGAGGAAATGTGCTTTTAAYGTGCACTTGCTAAGGTAAATGGAAACAGACAGGACTCTTTGTAAAGTCAAATGTCTGCTGTGGTGAACACAGAGATGTGCCCACTGCCTTACTCTCAGCTCCTTCAGGATGGTGACAGCTGCAGAATAGCTCAGTCCAAAGTCATGACTTTCTGGGAAGCCCACATCCAGTGACCAAATGAGGTGGGCTATGAAGGTCTGGCCTTTTGGGCTGGAAGTAGGACAAATCTCTCCAGAGTTTCTTGCTCTGTGGGCCTGCAGGGGAGTTTGACTTCTCCCTCTACCCAGTCCTGTTTCCTCTCCTTCCTTTAGATAGGTGCTGAGCCCTAAAAAAATGCCTCACACCCTAAACTTCTCAGCTCCTGCTTCTGGAGAATTCATCCTTAAACATCTAACACCTGCACTTCAGCTTTCCAAAGAGGCTGCTATCCTGAAATTTTCGAGCAGAGACCCAAAAATGCTCTCTAGAGGGGAGGGAAGGGACTAAAATTTTCCACAGTAGGCACTTTAAACATGTCAACACATTTAATCCTCACCTAGATTAGTAGCAATATTTACCCTCATGCTATAAACAAGAAAACAGCAGCTCAGAGAGGTCAAGCTATCACTGTTCAGTTGCATAGGTTGTGGGATAAGGATTGGAATCTAAATCAATCTGACTTCAAAGTCCTTATTCTTTCGTATTCACTTTATTGTTCCTATGTTGGATGCTTGCTAAGAAGGAAAAATTATCTGCATATTTTGAGGTCAGGAAAGCATATAAAGCAGAGATTTTCCCCATTTAGYCACACACCCCCAAAAGTCACTGCACAGGATGTATGGGAAAACCGGTACCCAGCTCATYCCTCACCTGAGATGCCTTTCAGGTCGTGGGTGGTGACTAAATTGGAGCAGACATGCTGGTGTCTGTAGATGGACTCAGATAATAGAAAATGCAAGTTGTGCAATGGCATGGTGGAGATAAGAGGCAGCATTCCATCCTGGTGTGGGATCTGCACTGAAATGTGGATTCTAGGGGAGAAAAGGCAGAAACAAGTGTTATCTGCATGCTCTGAATAGTTGGTAGGATGTATTTCTTTTTCATCACAAATCTGTTTTCACCAATGAATTTAGTAATCTTCCTTCCCCTGCAGCTTGCCATGTACTATTTCTATCTGAACATGAGGGTGTGGATATACATGTGGGGTTGCTTTCTCCCCCAAGAGATCCTCCAGACTCAAGACTGATAGCAATCAGGAATCAGAGATGTTTTTTCCTATATACGATAACATCACAACCACAAATTACTTTRAAGATTTATTTTGCATTAAATGGAAGGTTTGTATCCTCAGGAGCTAAAGCTGAATGACCAATACAGGAGCTGCCCCTGTTCTATTTCAATGAAAATCTGTGGAAGCTGGGAGGGTACCACACTCGTGTATTTTATAGTACTTATTTGAGTCAAAAAATATCATTGGGGCTGCAAATAGGGTAGAGCACAGACCTAGCATGTATGATGGTGCTGCGTTCCATCTCCAGCAATGAAAGCAAAAAAATCATTGAATTCTTAAATTCTAAGGCCAATTTCCCCACCCAGCCAAATATCATAGAAATATAATGTCTCACTACTCACATGATCTCTCCTCAAATAAACACTGCYCCCTCTCTTCTTTGTCTGTAAGTTTCACCAACACCTTACACCTGGCCCTTACTAGCCTCAAACCGCAGCATGTTCTCCCTTCACCTACATTCCTCTACTCTAGGTGAACTTTGGACAAGGAAATCAATGACTTATATATATGGGCTGCTTTTTCTTGTGTGTTTGGAGGCTCTGCTTATCTTGCCTCCCCACTATGAGCATAAGAACCATTTCCTTCTTTCCTTTTGTTTTTTCACTGTATACAGTATACAATTCTAAAGAAAATATGAGCTTAATAAATATTGGTTAAGACCGCAGCACAACAGAACTGTACTTATAGGCTGCATTTGTTTTCATTGTATGAGTTTACATTTTCAGCATGTTTTATTGAAGGTGTGTTTTGAGTATACATAGGTTGCCTCTGCAAGCAAAGAACCACATTTTAAAGAGGAATTTGAGCCTCAGATGTAAAGAGGATGACCCTTTTCCTAAGAAGGAGTCAGTTGTACTTTGAGTACTTCTCTTATTGATCTTTTACAAAAACAAGTTTTATTCTATTTGGGGAAAAAGAGAGGAATTTGTGTATTTGGGGGTTCACAGTCAAACCCCATTTCTCTGAACTCAGTTGTTCATTAAAGTACACACTTAAACTCTGCAAGGTTTAATGAATACCTATGGTGTAAGTGAATTCCCTTTTGCTATAAAAAATTGAAATTATCCCTCTCCCACTAAAATCATGGTGGCACAGGAAAAACAGTTTAGTGGCATGGAGTTTAGACAGTGCTATCACTCATTTGTTCATCAGATATGCTGCAAATGCCTCATAGGCCAAATAGCACTGAACTAGGTATACAGGAGATGCAAAATTAATAATCATGGTCTCTGCCCGTAAGGTTTTACCATCTACCATGTGGATAGAGAGGAAGAATGATGACAATACTCTGAAAGAGGCATTGGCAGGTGCCGGAGGAGCCTCTAAATTAAATTGGAGGAAATGATGAAGATTTTCCTAGAAGAGAAGCTATGAGCTAAGTATCACAGGACAGCCGGATTTAACTGTAGCAAGTAGAAGGGGTGGGAGAGAGTTGGAGCTGATGGTAAAGGCATGTAATCTAAAAGAGGTGGAAGCCCCTGTGATTCTTTGTGGGTGGACTGGCAAGTAAAAATGTTAAGGTGAGGGCTAAGAGGCTAGGAAAATAGACAAGAGACAGACCTCGAGGGATCTTTGAATTAAAAAAAAAAAACTTTGAAGCAAAAATTATCGCTACATTTATTTTGCAGAAGCATTACTCACTGATCTGTGCCACCTGGAAAGCATATAAAGGATACTGGAAAAGTCACTTGGGTGGAAGGGACCACCTGCCTGACCTGTTYGGATGCTCCTTGTGTTTGACGTCCAGGTATTTCAAGGTTGCGATGAAGGACTGTGCCTGGAAGCCTCTAGCTGTCCCGGCCACCACTGGAGTGTGGCAGATAGCACTGTCTGTTCCAATGGTGACAATGTTGCTCCTTAAGGGGGTCCCCACGTGGCCCACCTTATCCACAGCCTTTGCCACACAGCGCACATGGAACCTCCGGCTGAAGTAAATGCTATCTAAGACCTAGAAGAAGAATAAAGCACCTCAGACATGTACATACAATCTGAGCAGGTCCTTACACTGTGTCTTCTGGGTTAGATGACACAATAAGCTGTTGGCACAAAGTAATTTGGGAAGGCCATCCAGCCACCCACCCACTAATCTGTCCATCTTCTCATTTATTCATTCATTTGTCACATAACCACTGACTTATCACCATGGACCAGGCACTAGAGACAGAGMAGTGAGTACTTACAGTCTAAGGAGATAAGATGGAAAAGACAGATGTGGGGGCAAGAGTCCAAACATGCCTGGTTACCAATGAACAGTATTGTTCTCCTTGTGTACTAGTTTAGCAAAAGGACTACCCAACTATATTTCAGATCTTTCAGCAAGACTGATTGGCCTCCAAGCCACTGTTGCTGGGAGCATAGAGAAACTGGCTAAGGCCCTTGCAGGGCTTTACACCTAGACATAAATTCCTCAATTTATTCTAGGATACTTGGTCAATGAYATCACAGGCTCAAAGGCCCTCACACAGAACATTAACTCCCCTGGGGGGGGGGGAATACATCCAATCAACAAACAGCTCTTCCCTCTCCCATCCTCTTCYACTATCAACCACTTGGGAGGCAGATCTGAGCTTTTAGCTTCTGATCCCCTTATCAGTCGTCCCTGATAATAAAGCTTCTTTCTGCAAGAACCCAGTACTGTGGTATTGGCTCCTATACATGTTGGGCTCTAGCCCTTGCTTGATGACAATGGTATTTGGATACTGAAGAGAGATGCTTCCTCCTCAGGAGTATTTCTTTCTTTCTTTCTTTCTTTCTTTTCTACTGCTCCACTCTTAGACCCGCAAGGGTCACAATAACATGCAGGCTGAACGCTGAGAACTTGACCTCTGACTCCTCCCAGCCTTGAGGGTCTTCATATAGATCCCTTCACATTTTCAGATGTATAGGAACAATAAGAGGGCTCAACAATCTGTGCAGAGGCAATGTAGGTCACCAGGACTATGTGTCCACTCTCAAAAGGAAATACATAATGAGAAAAATTAATTAGTAGTTCTGTATGCCTCAGAACTCCCACAAAGCAATCATACGAATGTATAAATTCTTCCCATGAAAACAATTTTTACTGAAGTCCATTAAAAATTAAAGAAGATTTTTCCATTAAACTTTTTTTTTAATTAGCTGCCAACTCTTTATTTATTTATATATGGACTTATTCCAGTAGGGATTTGAGGCATATAACAAAAATGCATACAGCATGATGGTCTTAAATCAAATGAAGAAATAAAGATAAAGCAAAGGAAATTGGAGTAAAGGGTATTATTTACCAATTCATTGTAAGACAAAAAACTCAAGAGTCATCAATTTTGTATTTGTAAAAAATACATAGTTGGCTCAAATATACAAATATGGTTTTGTTGGACACAGAATTAGATATTTATAAAACAATAAGTTAAGTCTTGCCATTTTAATTTTTTAATAATAAGGAAGATGACTTACATTTGAACCAGGTTATATTGCAAAAGAATGGAACTCTGGGCTTTCTGAGTAAGCTGTGCTGAAGATAATGGATATGAGTAACCCTTCCAATAAAAAATCAAGGACTGTGTGCTGGATTCTGTGCTAAGCCTGAACCTCCACTGCTTTTGTCTCTTTTGGAAGAGAATCAGCTTCACTGGTGCAATGTGTGGAACCGGTAGTGGACTGGCTTCTAAGGGTGGAAAATAGCAGTATTCACTGCTCTGTGATGGTCTGGACTCAAAGGTCTTTGAGGGCGGCAACTGCCTTAGGAACTTCTTTTCATGTCCATCCACAGGGCTTTGCAAAATGCCGATCACTCCACAGCCATTCTATCCTTTTGTAAAACTGGTTGCTATTAAAGTGCTGGCCACTTTGGGATATACAAATATGACAGAAACCTTAATCCATGTCCTGAAGGAGTTTATATCTGAATACTTTGAATGATTAAAAATATGTGAAAAGAATAGTAATCACTTAATGGTACTGACCTGGAAATTTGAGCTTATTTTATCATTTATAGTAACACTGGTCAGTGACCTTGTTAAGTAGAAGAAATATTGTTTTGCAGATCAGGAGATTAAGACCAAGAGGGCAAGTAACTTCTTAACATCACATATTAAAATAGGCAGAATTAGGGTTTGTGAACAGGTTTTCTGACTAGCAGCTTAGTTTTCTTTCTATCATACTATAATGCCTTTCCTTATGTATAAGAATGAACAAACTATATATGCATCTGTGTATTTGTGTTATTCCAAATGCCATGCATGAATCTGAAGGAATTTGACAGAATCGGAGTAACAAAGGGATTCGGCAATTCTCTTCCTCCCCAGGCCGGCCGGGCCACCAGACTTACCATGTGGTTGACGCTGGTGAAGGGGGTGTTGTCAGTGATGGTCTCAAAGGGAGACCGGGCCCCATTGCCATCGGTGGGGGCAGCCACTTCCCAGCTGAACTGCACGGACGTCTGGTTGATGCCTGCCTCGCTGCAGCGCTCCTTCATGACAGCATACCTGGGGAAGTGAGGGTCACAGGGTGTGACACAGATCAGTGGGTAGCCTGGAGAGGGGGCCTTYTTGACTCCTTCCTTGGTAACCTCTTCCACGTGGTCGTAGTCAGCAAGGGTGACAACCTGAGAAAGGCAGCAAAGCTTCAGGTTAGGTTGGTTCTTGGGAAGATCGGAGATCCCTTGCCCAGAGACACTCCTGATCACTTAATTTCTAGGGATTCTTTAAAATATAACTGARGGTTTTATAATCCTTTGCCGGGTACCCTTAAGGGCACTGCATATCTTTAGTGGTACAGGAAATCCTCCTACTGCCTGAGCTAAGAGCTTTATTGTCCTGTTAACTGCATTCCAAGTCGATTCTTATCACGCATGTAAAAAATACTTTCATTTTCCTGCACATGGAACCAAAGCTATATTGTGACTGGCAGTTGCTAGCTTAAAGTTGTATTAAAATGTTATCCGTATATAGTAGCACACCCAGTATAATAAGAGTAAACAAAGGTAATGCATTTCTTCCATGGCCAAACAAGAAACACAATTTGAAATAATCTCCTGTTTTTAAAATGTAAGAGAGTAGTTAAGGGAGGTAAGAAGGCTTGTTCTGACTGCACTATTAGGTGTTAAATAACCCCTGGTGATCTCAGGCATTTTCCTCTTAAATGTAAAGTCTGCACATTCATTCTGTTCATCCTGCATTGGGAAGCACAGTACCACATTTCTGCATATACTTAACTCTCTTTGTGGGGTGAATATGTTGGATAATAGATTGGGAGTTCTACTTTCTTATCTTCCAGGTCCTAYCAGAGCAAAATGTCTTTATCAAGCTAAGCTACCTACATGGTTTGGTCTTACTCTTACTTCAGAACAAGGCTTCTCACCCTTGGCCCTATTAACATTTGTGCCAAATAATTCTTTTTGTTGTTCTGTGCATTGTAGGTATTTAGCATTGTAGGTATTGTGGCTTCTACACACTGGATGCTAGCTGTGACAGCCAAAAATGTCTCTGGACATTGCCAAATGTCCTCTGGAGGGAGAGAATGGTTGGCTAGATTCTTCTGGTTGAGAACCGTTGTTAGAAGAACAAAGAAGTAGCTCACCAGAAGTCCCACTTCTCTCAAGTTCTCATCTGCTATTCACTAAGACATAAAAGCAGCAATCCTAGGTGTCAAGYAACTCACAATAGGTGGCGCTGGCAATATGAGACTTCCTGCTGCCTCCTGATCTAGAATTGTCACTGTGGCAGTAGTCACATCCCCAAGAACTGCTTCCACTGGGTCATCGGGGCCAAGGACTAGAGAGAAGGATTCATGCCATTCCCGGTCTTCATTGGACAGAATCTCCACTTTAAAAAAGATGTGATCCACACCTTCACCAAGGACAGAACAAAAAGAGAGCAAAAACCTTATTAGTAGACATACCTAAGAGAGCACAGGCTGGCACTGCTGAGATGTCAAGTTAAAATATAACCTTTCCTTACAGAAGTTTTCTAGATATGCAGTGACTTCTAATCACTTTAGCCCCATCCTAAGTGAGGAATCTGTTTGACAGACCAAATTCCACCTGTGGTAGAGGCTCTGTCCTAGAGATTACTATTCAGCACCATATGAGGATTAATGGCCCCTGCCTGACACACTGGCTGGCAGTAATAAAAATCTATGATCCAAAATATGCTTCATCCTGGTTACAAGTTTTTTTTTTTTTCTTAATTTTCTTTTCCAATTTACACTTAAGCATAAGCTCCTGTGTGGCTGTGAGTACTTGCATACCCTTCCAAATTGCCTCCTAAGAAGCAGTAGGGGCCAGGTCYGTCTCCACAAAAAGATCACACTGTGGAGGTTTAGCACCTGGAAGAGTGCTATAAACCCTTCCTTTGCTGTAAAATGATTCTTTGAGTATACAAACATCCCTGATCATAAGTAAGGACCTTTGTTCCTCTCCTAGAGATATCAGGACCAGCTTGCTTCCAGATCTATCTTTCCTCCAGATCCCTATGGAGAAAAGAGGGGTCCTTCTGCAAAAGTGGAAGAAGAGCTCTTCTTTTCCAGCATCAACTAGACACACATGGGATGGAGCTGGAAGCCCATTAAGGCTCCAGTGAGCAGAAGAGATACACAGGGACCCATGACCACCAGCCTACACCATTTCTGAGTCACCCTTTCCATCCACTTGCTAGGACATCTTTGAAAAGTCCTAATACTGCTATTCACCTCTGGCTACACTAAAAAACGATGCCAGGATCTATACCAGCTTTTCACTTTACACTGCTCCAGAAAGTTCTAAGAAAAAACCTAGCACACAATTCAACCCTTTACTTGGTCCATTCTCATCAAAACTTCAGACAGACACCTGGTTGTGATCTGTTTTGTCTTTCACTCTTTTCTGGCTTATCTCCATGTTTCTCTCTGGGGTACACTTGTTTTGGAAAGCCTATAAAAGGGTGTGTGTGTTTCCTAGTAGAAGTGAAATCAACTTGAGCATAGGGATTATGCCTTCCAGATTTTAGCAAGCTGTGAAGGATCCAGTGCATAGCTTTGCACCAATGATTGTTGAAGGATGGATATATATTTTAAAACCAAGTGTTCCTATCATTCAACCAAACCACAGGATACAAAAATACCCTTTTAAATAAACCAAAATGCCCAGCATGTTCTAATGTTAGAGACTTTTAAATCCATGCCATGATTATGAATTAAGTTTTACTTGCAACCTCAAATATATGCTCAACAAATGCATTATGTTATTGCCACAACTTTGTTTCTCTGCTCATTCCTTTCTTCACATACAAGGTAGTCATCTCTCTATTAAGAAAACCCACAGATTGGAATTGGCATTCAATTACCAGGATTGAATTTCAAGACTCGGCTCTTTGGGTAATAATCCACACCAGACTGGGCAGATCCATCCCGAGTGCTACAGCGAATCTTGGAGGTCCTGTTCTGATCTCCTCTTCGGATCACCTTGATGTTCAGAATTGCAATGGCATCTGGTCCTGCGGGTTCCCGGACTTGGTATGCAGCTTCTTCAAACTCAATGGTTGGTGCTAAGGAAACACAGTTAGGAAAACAAGAGCAARTCAGAATAGCATAAAAAATCCAGACTCCCAAGCAAATACCATATAATGGCAAGAAATACCTTATAATGACAAGAGGGAACAATTCACATTAGTTAACAATACCAAGGCAAAATGGCTTGTAGTCATAAAAATCAATCAGCATTTACCCTTAAGCAATGCTTTGGAAAAAGGAATTTATTTGTGATCCTGTAGGAGTTATTTCTCACATGTGTATTAAAAACAATATAATGGGGGAAATAGTTTTTAGAGACTTTGAAGTGCATGATGTCCAAGTTTCTGTTTTTTGCTTCTAGAATGTTTTTAAATTTGCACAATTTAYCAAGAGACTGAGACATAGTGGACCCTTGATAAATAGCTATTGACTGATGCCATGAATMGACTTTTTATTTATAAGCTATGAATTTCTAAGGATTATAATTTATCTCATTTATATACTACTTGAGTTACCAAATCTATCCTTCATCTCTGGTTTTCTGGATACACCCTCCCAGTACTAGTACCTACAGCTATTYCTAACTCTTCACTGGTTATTTAGGTAAGCATGGTTAGTTTTAGCAACTGGCTACAATGATAATTCAGGAACTCAAAACTTTCAAATATTATCTGATCTGAGGCATTCCTGTCATTATTAGGAAATGATTAACAATTTGGCTTTTTTCCAAAAACTATTAAATCATGTCTTCTTTTCTAGTACATTCTCATGGGGGAAGGGCAGGGTGGTGGTCATAGTGATAACAGAGAGTGAGATTGAAGAGATGGGAAAATTGGGAGCAATTACAAGTTTTATACCATTTTAGGATATTATTAGTATATTGTAGATGTTTCTTGTCTGTTTCCCGCTCTTCCTTGCTCTTAGTCTTTCTAATTGTAGAAGACGAACCTTACTTGAGACTTTAGAGTTTTCAGTAAGAATGGTTGCTAAAATGAGGAAGGCTGCTGGAACAGTGGGACCGTTACCTYGCTGAGCCTCCATCATTGGGTTATCTGTGTGCTGGGAGAGGCTCACTTCAGGATTTGAACCTAAATCTATTTGGGTGAAGGGCTACTTCAACGTCAAGGCTGGATGTTCTTATTTACATGATTCCAAAGCAGTTCCTGATTTCTCATTAGGAACCCTACAAATCTCACTAATTCTCTCAGTAGTTAAGAGTGTAGATTTTAGCCAGGCATGAGGGCACATGCCTGTAATCCCAGTGGCTCAGGAGCTGAGGCAGGAAGATTGCAAGTTCAAAGTCAGCCTCAATAATGTAGCAAGGCCCTAAGCAACTTAGTGAGAACCTGTCTCAAAATAAAAAATAAAAATAGAAGGGCTAAAGATGTGGCTCAGTAGTTAAGTGCTCCTGGGTTCAATCCCTTGTGCAAAAAAAAAAAAWATATATATATATATAGATAGATAGATAGATAGATAGATATGCATGTGCCCTCATGCCTGGCTAAAAAACTGGATGAGAACCAATTCTAATATATATATATATTCTCATCCAGTTTTGCTGCTAACAGTTTTGCAATTAACAGTTCAAATTACATAACTTTGCTGAAGTATAGTTTCTTCTCCTAGGTAAGAAAAACTATTTCAAAGGATTACTGCCAGGACTGAGTGAAATACTATAACATGGTTAGCATGTACCATAAATATTCAATAAAAATCAGATATTGCTGTTTGCAATATTTTATATAGTTACTCATTAAAATATCTACTTTAATAACAGTGAAGTCCTAATTCAAAACAGGATTTGTTTCTTCTTCTTCCTGGGCCACTCTTTGCAAATACCTGACTATAGAATATAAGTTGGGTTTTTTTGTTGTTGTTCTTGTTGTTGTTTTAGGGCAAATCAGTTAGAAGAAGCTGAAAAATTGAACTYTTCCAGGAAGGTAGCAGTGTTTTAAATCAGTTCCTTGGAGTCAACTGATTCTGACTGTATTTCTGAATCTGCTCCTGATCTGCAATGACTTAAATGGTTTCTATTCTCTGTGTCAGCATTTCTGTCCTAGCTTTTAATCATACTTATTCCTTATCTTTTGGCAATATGTAGGGAATAGTGAGATTAGAAATACCCTGAACTTATCAGAGTGGCGTAGAGGGTGATCACTTGCTGCAAACATTTGATATATACATTCAGAGACTGTTATTAGTAGGCACTTCCACAGCATTTTTGTTTTTCAAATATCATTTCATGTCCCATCAACCTAAGAATAACTAAAGGCAATTTCTTTTGTTACCATCTTCATCATTGGATATGGTGATGGTGGCCATGTTATTTTTTCCAACTCTGGCTCCACTCCAGTGGTTTCCAAGAGGATGGCCAAGGTAGACCCTGAACTGCTCCTCAGGCTCAAACATGGAGTCATCATGGATATAGACCGTGCAGTTCTTTACCTAGAGGCAATGGCACAAGACAAATTAAAATCTACAGCAAGGTATCAGTAACTGGCTTGGTTTTCCTAGGGGAACCCACCTAACTAATGGGACTGGTATTAGAACATTTCAAACCCTTTTGACTTATTGGTGATGAGCTGTGAAAACCAAAATTAATAAAACAAATCACCCACTAAAAAGCACCTGTAGAACATTTGTATGCTTTCCCACATGTTGCCTCGGCTGCTCAGTATGTTTGCATGTGTTACAACAGACCTCCAACAATGGATATTTGACATATCATTGGACTTCCTGGATGTCTGCATAACATACTTTTTCCTTCTGAAAACTGAATGGTTTTTAAAAGAAACTCAAAGCGTCTTCATGTTAGGCTAAAGATCTTTAAATTTTAAAGAACTCTCAAATCTGCTGCCAAATAGAATCTTATTTGAAAACTGTTGAGAATTGAAAATGAGAACACAACCCAATACCTGTTTGGTAGAGAAAAGTCAAGTGTTTCTCAAACTGAATATTCTCCAGTGAGGATTGCATTTTTGAAAAAATGTAAAACAAAATCACAAAATTTTAGATAACATACCAGCCTCGGTAGTAGATCTATGTGATATGAAGTGAGATATTTTTAGTTGGATCATTTTAAATCTACTATCTTATTACATTGCAAAGGATATGTGGGCAGAGAGTTCACTCTGATACTTCCTAAGTCATAATACATGGTAGGAAGGAATCCCAGTGAGCATTTATATGTTACTTGTTAACCTGTTTTAAGTCCTGAAGATTGTTTTCCTTTTCTTACATCTTTCCTAGAATAAGAATTCCTTATAGAAAGCATGAAATTAATGGTGATTCATGGGATTCTTTTTAAAAGATATTACAGAATATGCCAAGACCCAAAGTTTTTTGTTTTGCAAGTCAAAGAAATGGAGATTCTAAAGCATGCTTAGGAATGATGATAGATTGTCATGTGAGTAACATACAGACTATTAAGCTGTATTTTCTTTACACTTTCATTAAATTAAAATTCTCTCTTAAATAGACAGAGCATCCTCGTTTGAACTTAAAGCAAATACAGACATGTAGACTCAAAGCTGAAGATTATATCTGTAGTGTTTGCATGTGTTCACAAGCATGTTTCAACCTTCCATGAGTAAAATTCCAATAAAATACACAACTAGGACAGGCCTTTATGAGTCATGGGTGTGTAAAACTCTTAAAAGTCCCAGAGAACAATCCTATCTTTTTTTGTAGTAGAGATGAATAGAGGACAAATTTGGAGTGAGTTACAATGGGTAAGGTCTTGGGCTAAATTTCAAAAAGACAAAATTTTGATTCATTTGATTACATCAAGATTGAAGAACTTCATTGAACTATGAAGACCATAGGAAAGTGACAGAAAGAGAAAGATATATATATATATATATATATATATATATATATATATATATAGAGAGAGAGAGAGAGAGAGAGAGAGAGAGAGAGANATAGATAGATAGATAGATAGATAGATATTACACTATGTAAAACTGGCAAAGAATTAACATTTAGGATATTTAAGAAAGTAGTAAAAGTCAGTAAGAAAAAGATAATAAAATGATAAAATAAGGAACAAAGAAGAAAAATCTGCTCATAAGCTATTTGGAAGTCCAATAAGCTAACAAGAATATAAAATAGTAATAATTAGAGAATACAAGTTAAAACATGATATACCTTTATGCTTATAATTATCTCTGCAAAAAAAAAAGATGAGTAATGTAAGTGTTGAAGAGGATGTAGGCTTGTAGCAACCCTCCTGCATTTCTAGTGGCATTCTGGAAAGTATTCTTACACTTTTTCCCCCCAAATTAAGCACATGCATGTCTTTTGGTCTAGAAATTTTGCCCCTGAGTAAAGAAATTCTCTCTCAAGTCTGTAAGTGGACATGTATGAGGATGTGCACTGAAACATTTTGAGGTGACGGAGTGTTAGGAGCTTTCTTGATGCAACCCCTGAGACTCCTTATCATCTATGGCTGAGTGTGCATAAGTGAAATATAGCAAATACACATCATGAAACATATGTAACAGCCAGAAGTAACAGATTAGAGGTCCACAGACAGATCTTAAAACATACTGGTGAGTAACAACAGTAAAAAATTGAAAAAGACATAACATAATACAATTTTTATCAATTAAAACTCATGTATGCTAAATAAGAAGCATTTTTAATAGAACAAATAAAAACAGAGATACAGATTAAACATAAAAGTTTGATGGGTGGAGAAGAGAATGTGGCTGGAAATGGAAGTAAAATGAAATGAATAAACAAACTGAAAATAAAAAAGGTGCCGACTAACGTGGATGTTGTGCCTTGAACCAAGAGGTACATCTGACCCAGTCATCTGAAATTGAGATTCAAAAGGGTGGAAATGAATTCTCATTCAATATAAACCTTTGACATACACTGTGGTCGGATCCTTTTATTCTGATGCAGCTGTGTTTAGTGACAAGATTTTTCCCGAGTTCCCATGACCACATGCATGACTCTTTGGGTACGTTATCAAGAGAATACTACACTGACTCAAATCTGCTCAGTATTTCTCTATTCAGTCCTGTGTTAGGATGCATATTATTTTGGGAGAAAGACCCAGATATCAGAGAACTATTTCTTAGTCCTTAAGTAACACCAGTGGAAAGTGTTACATTTGATGGAACTAAATTTCCAAAACATTGCACATTATTGAAATTTCCCAACTCAAACGATGATATATGTATTTGTTTGCAAGTGGGAGACAAAGAAGATAGTCAAATGGAATAGATGACATTATTTAAAATATTATTAATTGGTAAGGAAATTCCAAAATATGCTCCAAGTTCATTTAATTTACCTACCTGTGGACAAACAAAGGTGATAAGAAGAGAATGCTGTCTTTAAGCCACCACAGTTCCACTTACCTTCTCCCCTTTCAGAAATGTAATCCGTGAAGAATCTGCATTTCTTCTCTCCYCAAAGTCCTCCATGACCTGAGCTGAATGGCCCTGAGTGTAGCATCTCACTGATGACTCATAGCTCAGGTCTCCGCTCCGAATGATAGGAACATGCAGGACACCATCTTTCTCCTTCACTAGGAGCAAATCCTTAGCAAACTGCATGCTTGGCACTGGGTGAGCAKGTGGAGAGATGGAGGCATTGTTAGTGGGAGGCACAGGGATGCAGTGGCCATGGCACAGCTTGCAAATGGCCAACACAGGCCGACAAGTCACAGGTGCTAAGTGGATTTCACGCATGGTTGTTGCTCTCAGGCAAGGAAACTACTTCAACTTTGAATATGATTCCAATGAAACAGAAGAAATCAACTTTTCACCTGTCTTTGCTCACTTCAGGGTGTGGTCACCATCTCAAATGCAGGCAGATGAAAAAATGAAACAGGTGCAAAAAACAAAACAAAACAAACCTGTGACAGTGACTTGGGTACTCAACACTTCACTTTAGAGCTACAATAAGGAAARCAGCAGGGCTAGTCTGATGGGCAAATGGCCACTCACATTCTCATACTGAGGCCAGGTGACAAAAGGGAAGAGTGGACACTGACAAAGAGAGAAAGGCAGGTTCTGTTTAAAGGCCTCCAGTTGCCAGATCTTAGTTTCAAATGAAGCCAGAGATCTGGGTGTTTTTCTGGATTTTTTTTTAACCTAACGTAAAAATAACAACAAATAAAATAAAATGGTAAAAATTAATTTCCATATAAGCCAAAATTATTGGGAGCAAACAAAACATATACACAGTCTGAATTTGGCTCCTAGTCTGTGACAGGTACTATAGTTTTATCTTTAATAAGTCATGTCTCATTGGTTTTTAGGGAGGCACCATACCCAAACTGTAGTTAAAAACAAGGATTTGGGAGTAATTAGGCCTGATTATCCATTCCAGCCTTACTACTTATTAACTGTATAGGGCATAGGACAAATWCTTTCTGAGCCTTGGAGCTTTTTTTTTAATTGAAAAATATTGATATCTAACTTATAGAATTGAGAAGGTATTGAAAATACTCCCTCAATTAGAAAATATGTGCATGATAGTCAATACAGTATTGAGTATTGAAAAAACTCTCTCAATTAGAAAATATTTAGAAAATATGTGCATGATAGTCAATACATTATCTAGCTCATGGAAGCACTCAAATTTTGGTAGAAATTGATATATTATGATTTAGATTTGTCCCCTAATTTCAGGCTTCTCAACATGAAGAATCATTTTTTTTCCTCTTTACTTCCTGCTGTGAGGCTCTGCATTAAGACATTTCCCCAAGCTCAATATTTTGTTGACTACTGGTTATTAATTTCTTTACCAACAATCCAGAGGATCCTATGTCAAAGTCTCCTAAGGTGAATTAATCTTCAAGGCTGTAGGAAAGCCAACCTAAAGCTGTTACCACCTATTTCCTGGCTGCTTTCTGGATGTGTCTTGCCAAACCAGAAAGGAAGAAGCAGGAAGGGTTTCTGTAGGCAGCTCCTGGCTCTGAGAGTCCATGGGCAGAATGCTGTTTGCCTCTGACCTACCCTTGCTCAGAGCTATCGGCTTTGGCAAAAACAAAACCATCCCATCATCTGAACCAAGCCTACTAGCTATCAAATATTACTTAACAAAAGACAGATGAAAAGACACCTAAAGAGAATTAATAGCTTTGGCATTAAGCCCTATACATTAACCAGTGAGGACTGTGTCATCCAGACGAAGGCCTGTGCTGTTAAAAGGTAGGTAGCAATGACATCACTAGCTTTGGAGGACCTAAAGGAGGCTTGTTGCCAGGGAAAAAGCAAAACAATCAGGGAAGCTTTTTTTGTTCCTGGCAGACATCTCCAGCTCTAGATTGGTTTTTCCTGCTGGCCTGGCATGCCTCAAGTCAGATGAGAAAGTTAAGTGCTAAAGTGGTAATGTGGTAATGTTTAGGGTTTGTCAGGTACTTATCAACCCCCAGTTAATCCTGAGCTTTAGAAGACTCCTCTTTAACAAGATACTCACTCTCATTTATCTCCCTGTGTGGAGAGAGAGAGAGAGAGAGAGAGAGAGAGAGAGAGAGAGAGAGAGAGAGAGAGAGACTGGGAATGGACACTTCTCAGCAGGAGACTGACAAGAGACAATATACGGAAACCAGGTGATTGTTGGAACAAATTTCTGCATGATGAATGTGTGTGTTAAGGGCTTTCACATATATATGAATGTCATCTCAACAACCCCATAAAGCACTATAGTCCCCAGGAAGGAGTAGCTTGGCCCTGGGAGTTAGTTCCCCAGATTGCAGAGCCCCTCTCTTTCCACACTAATGGGGTACATAAATATAAAACAGAAATTTTCCCCCTGAAGTTTCATGGGCTTACATTGGGAATAAGGCATGTATTATCAGCACCTCTCTCCATATAGTAATTGTACCTGGCCATTGTAGTTAACTTTTTATTTGTGTAAGTCTGGTATCCAGAAATAGATTGTGAGACTCTGCCCTCTATTACTCTGTAGCCCATACAATGTTGAGCACCAGTCTTAGGCAGAGAGAATGTTCTATAAACATCTTACCCTGCTAATCTTCTTAGTAACTGACAAAGTGAATACAAACACCAATGCCTGGAATGTGATGGCCTCTTTACAGGCAATGGTTAAGCTAGAGATTTAGGGGAAATCTGGCCTCTGGTTCCTTGAAGTTAATGAGAAGGTATGACTCAGTTGCATAGGCAGGAGAATACTGCCGTAGTGRCTCTATGGCCTTTTTTGTCTGGCTCAGTCAGTGTTACTCATGCCTAATTCTAGGTAGCAGAGCAGAAGAGGTAGGTGAGAAACAGGAAAACATTCTGAGATGAGCTACTTCGATGATTTAAGGTTCTGAAAGCAGCCTAGTGGGAAATGATAAAAGGCGCTAAGATTACATCAGAAGGCTGAAAGATGGCTTGTAAGACTCTTGAACRATGGCAAGCATTGCTGTCTAGAGGGCAGTGGCCAGCTAAAGTTGCAATATAAAAAGCTAGCACAGGAGGGAGGATAGGAAACCAGAAGAGAGGCATGGATGGCATGGACCAGAGTTCTAACTCTGGTTCTCATCACCTCCTCTCCATACGATCATGCACAAATAATTCAGCCTCAGTGTAACCAGCTGAGGGGCAGAGATGTAAGATCTTTCCACCCTAGATTGGCCCAGAAAATTGACTCAATGAAAGTCAGTTATTACTAGGAAGAAAAGTAACCAATAGAAGTAAGCACTGAATATTACAATAGGTTACTGAAATAGGTTTGGGGATTTCTTTCCTCAGGGTAAGTCGTTGACTGGAAATAGATGGTTGTAGGAAAAAGATGGGAAATATTTTGTTTCACATATGTATCCCCTAAGTCTACAACCTCAACACCTATCAATAAAATAATGAGAAAAAATAACTAGAATCTTCTGTGTTGATCAGAGTACAGTGAGGATTGCATGTATTACTGGAATTTCACTGGTTAGTGGCATAAATTATAGATGTGCCAGGAATAAATATGTAAAATAACATCTATGATGTGCCATGGGCTATAGGAAAAATTTTTGCATATTTGGTCTAATTTAATCCTTACATCAATCTTATAAGGTAAGTATCTTTATTATTTATAGATGAACAAAACGTGGCTTAGTAACCTTAAGCCTCTGGCCTAAGGCTAAGGATGTGCTAGGGCTGAGATTTATGTTAGGGTTTCTAACTTGGCATTCATTTTCCATTTCATCAGAGAAAAATTAACTAACCTTTTATCCAAAAAAAACTAAGAAGTCATTTCAACAATAAGAAGAATAACTGATTTTCTTTCTTTCTTATTTTTTCTTTCCTTAAGGAAAGAAATATTCCATGGCTTGCTTCTACCACTACACCAACTAGAACCATGCTGCATAATGCAAAGAAAATGAACTTGGAGTCAAAGACCTCCTACTAGGCAATGGGTGACTGTTCACTGCCCTTGTTCTCAGTTTCCTTAACTACCAACTAGAAACAAAAGGAAAGCCACGATTTTGAACAAATGGGATACAYTTAACAGCTCACTCTATAAACTCTGAATAACGTTTGAATTGTAGAATTGTAGAGCTGGTATAATCTCATCCATGGTGAAAAGTTACCATTTTGTGAGTCACAAACATAAATGTAAAGTTTAAAGTAATAAAACTTCTGAAAGAAAACACCAAAGAAAATCTTGTTAACCTTGGGCTGGGCAAAGATTTCTCAGATACAAGACTAAAAGTATGATCTCTGAAAGAAAAATCAATCAAGGGCGGCCACTTCAAAATGACACACTTTTGTTCTCTGAAGGACATTGTTAAAAAGAAGAAAGAGATAAGAAGCAAACTGGGATAAAATATTTACAAGACACAAATCTTTGTCCAGAATGTACCACAATACAATAATAGAGGGGAATGGCAAAAAATGGGCAAAATATTTGAATAATATTTCACAAAAAAGATATATGGATGGCAAAAGTACATGAAAAATCTGCATCATTAGTCATTAGGGAAAACACTTCAAGCCTCAGAATATCATTGCATACCTACTAGAATAATTTTTAAAAAACACAAAACTCTGACAATCCCAAACATGCACTTACTATATGATCCAGCAACCTCAGATGAATAACTATATTCATATACAAATCTATATGCAAATGTTTATAGCCACTGTAGTTATAATTGCCAAAACCTTAAGACAATCCAAATGTTACTCAATAGGTCAATGGATAAACAAACTGTGGTATATCCATACAATGGAAAACTACTCAAYGGTAAATGGAATTATTTGTACATGCAACAATATGGATAACCCTCAAATRGGTTTCTCTAGTTGGAAGAAATCAGATAAAAAAAATGGTACATATTACATGATTCCATTTACATGACATTCTAGAAAAGGCAAGACTTAGGAGCAGAAAACAAATACGTGGTTGTCAGATCTTGGGTTTGGGCAGAAATTGACCACAATGGGGCATRGGAGAATTTTCCAGGGTATTGGAACTGTTCAACATCTTTGTTATGGCGGTGAGCACATCACTGTATGCATTTTTCAAAATAGAACTGTATAATAAAAAGGGAAAAGTTCATTTATGTGAATAAACACTTCAATACTTCAATAAACCAGGATATAAAATAAGACAGCATCATTTTGGATGCATAGGGTGTGTATGCATACACACACATATGTGTGTTTGTGTGGATAGTACACACACATACACATATAGGTATATATACATAAATATATGTTTTTCCCTAAAGGATAAACGTACAGAAAACTGAGTAAAGTGGTTGTTTCCAGTGAGGGAACCTCAGGGATTGGGAGATGGCAAAGTAGAAGAAAGATTTAATTTTCATAGTATATCTTTTTGGAATTTGCATATTTTACTACTATATACACGATATAAATTATTTAAAAATGAATAAAAACATTAGAGATACCCTGTTGGGTTCCCTGTTCCTTTTGGGGAGATTTTTCAGTCACTAAGAGTTTAATCATGGACTTTACGGTCCACCATGCGGGCTGCTGATGAGAGTCCTCTTGCTTTAGGTGGAAAATCTGACTCAAATCTTCTCTATTTACGTCTGGAATCCACACAATGTATTCTAAATGTCTAAACTATTCTAATCTCCATCATTTCTCCTGAGAAGCAACTTCCCTTTCCTCCTCATCCTTAGTTACTTGGGTTACATCTTCAGCAGTAACTGATGCTTCGTTCATATACCTGCCTCTCTTTATTCCTGCATATCATCTTCAATACTTCCAGTATAAGTTTCCTAAAACAAAAAATCACATCAATGACTGATGACAAGCATCTGCTGGTCTGTTTGGCTGGAAGAGAACACCTTTTAAGGTTTGACTCCAACCTGTCTCCCCATTTCATYTCTCTATTCATGCTCAAAGCAAAAGAGAGTATTCCACTGTTTCCCAAACATGCATCTATGTTTTATATGTTGTATATACTATGTCTCTACATTTGTGATGGGATTTCTTTTATCATGATTCCTATCACACTTGAAGACTTGGCTTACTATCACCTCCTCTGTGAAATCTCCTACAATCACCCCAAGCATAATTACTGTTTGGTTCCCTCTGCTCCTGCAGTAATGGATTTACGGCAACACTGAGTCATTTATCATAATATATTCTAATTTTTCTGGTTTAGGGTCTGACATTGAACTTTTTGAGTACAAAGCCCAATGCTTATACATATCTTTATGCCTGCCAGAGTATCAGCAYACCATGTATTTCTTGAATGAAAATATGAATGAGATACAATGTCATATACATGGAAGTTAAGGAAAAAAATAGAAATATATTTTGAAACCACCAGCTGGCAYCCCCAATCTCTTACCATCTTGGAATGTGTCATTAATTGCAATGACAGCCTGGAAGGGTTTGGTCAGTTCAGCCCCTTGTGCTGAGCTCAGAAAAACCACAAATGTCTCCAGTCCTTCAATTACCGGATACTGGGTATCATCCAAGATAGTCAAGGTGCAGAACTGGAGGAGAAATCAAAGTAGACTTTACAACAGGCTCAACACTCGACTCTCTGCCTTTGAGACACTAGGGCAGAGGTGGCAACTCATCTTTTTCTGGTGGTCTTAAAGCAAGGTTTGTTTCTGTTTTTAAACCCACAGAATGATGATCTCTTTATCACATTCTTTGGAATTTGTTTCTAGATACTTACATCAAACAGGTGCAATTTCTATCCTAAATCTACACTGTAGGATATTTGATGCTCAACAGGCCACTTTGAGAGGTTTTAGAAGATCCCCTCATAATTTGTTCTCTTGTTTGTATGCTTATGAAAGTGAAGGTCATAACATTGCAAGGGGAACTGAGGGTCCTCCAGAGGGCTTGGAAAGTAGACTCCAGACCACACCAACAGCGTCATCCAGACTTATGAGTTTGTGGAGTCTTCAGTGATGCAGACTCACCTGCTCAGTGACACCTGGCCCAAATTCCACCTTCCTAGAGCTGGGGACGTAGTCAACTCCCGGAGTGGCAGAAGCTGGGTCGGAGGGCCGTGTTGCACACCAGACAGATGTGAGAGTAGAAAGGTCAGTACCGTGGCGGATAACTGGAATCTTTAAGGTGCCTGATTAACAGAGATTTTAATGGTCAACCTTCAGCCAAAAAAAAATCAGTGGAGTTTCTAGAACACTGTTCTCTTTCACTGCAACAGTGACAGCTTTATCCAACTCAGCTTATCTAAATCAACTTTGGTGGTGGTCCTATGCCCCCCTTGGAGGAGGGCTGAGAGGTGACATTGCCCACTTTTCCCCTGACATCATGATCAAGGGGAGTTCTAGAGGAGGACCACATGGAGGTGGTGCTGGAGAGACAGCTCTCTGGGGAGTGTTCTTAACAATGTACTGGAGAGAAGTGCCCATTGTAAACCATCTCAAGGCTATTTAGGGAGAAGAAACTCAGAGACTGGGTCCTCAGCTAGAAAATAGTCAACAACCAGCAGGGGGGGGGACCTTATGGGGCCCGGAGCTGGATGTTCCTAATTGAATGTTTTAACTGGGTTGATTTTCCTATTTTTTCCAAGTGGTGCACACATCATTACTCAAACCATATGTGCTTATTGCTTATTTCAGGAATGAAGCTCATCTTCTGGCCCACTGTGACATCATATTTTGTAGTAACTTAAAGATGTTTGGTTACTTTCACAACCAAGGTCAGAGAAAGGCTGACATGAAAACCCTATCAATTGCCATGTTTTTATCGTCAATATTCTGTGAGGTGACATGTAGTCATGGCATGTGAGAAGCATCAGCCAGGGCAATCTCAAACTCTTCTTCCTCTTCATACTCGCTGTCATCAATAAGCATATACGGAAGGGAGATAGTGCAGTTAAAAGAACAAACGTTCTACTCCAGCTCTGCCACTGTATTAGCTGTTTAATCCTTGGTCATTTATGTAACCTCTCTGGGCCTCCATTTGCTCTTCTATCTTCCACAGAAGATCTAGTGAGAATGCATGAAATACCCATGGCATGCTGCCTGACATTCAGTCCATGCTCAAAAATAGTAGTTTCTAATACTCCTCAGAATCCCTTCAAAGAGGTGAATGGCCTTAATGTGGCTCAGATCAACTGATACTCAGCATATCCACCATCCCCTCTGTCAGTAGCATGCAGGGGACTTCAAGACYACAGGGAACCCATAAGAAGGAAGGAGCCTGGGCTCTGAAACACCACGTGGGAGAAATTTGCCCACCCATTGCTTTGGGCAGGTRCATAAGTGCAAAAGTTCCTTTGTGTGAAACTGAAACTTTGAAGTTAGTTTGGGTGAGGGAACCTCAGAGAGGCTCTCCATTACCTGCATCCTCGCTGACAGTGAAAGCTGTGTTGCCCAGGGAGACCGTGGAGGCATCATTGGGACCACTAATGAGCACCCTGGCTGTTGCCACCCTTCCGATGCGGGCATTGTGAGAAGCATCAGCCAGGGCAATCTCAAACTCCTCTTCCTCTTCATACTCGCTGTCATCAATAAGCATGACGTCACAGGTGGACATGGTGACACCAGGCCCGAATATCACCCGACTCTCAGCAGACATCCCTCTAGACTTAAAATCAGAGCCTGATTCTAGAGCATAGAGACTACTTCCCATAGCAGACTTAGGGACCGTGTAGCAAATTGCAGATACGATGCTGCTTGAATCACCTGCAAGTCAAATGGCAAGAAAACCAACACAATTGAAAAAGCACTTCCCGAATTTTAGAATCTCTGGTCCATTAATGAGCTTGGCTCCCTCTGACACATTCAGACTCTATCAGGAAACCTTCCAGAGTTACAGTTTCTCTTAAGCCTGTAGTATAAACTGCTTGAGGATTTAATATACCCCAGATACTTGCCCAAATAACTCAAAATGGATTTCCTATTCTGTGAATTTTGTGCTCTGTTAATTCACAAGTCTGATTGCCCACCATCTAAGACCACAGCGGGTGAAAAGATAAGAGACATATTTGGTACTTTAAGTAGCAAAGTAATTGTGTCCTGAAGGTAGTGCTGTGAGCACAGTTCACTGCCTTTCTGAATAAACTTCTGCACTTTAATTCCCTCAGAGAAAGAAGCTTGTTTTAAAAAAAAGAAAGACAAAGCCAAATAAAACTTGCCTCGCAATGGCTTTACTTATTAGTGCTGCATTATCCCTTGGTGATAGCCTGTTCTGGGCCTGACTTGGTGGCCTAGAGCAATCAATGGGGCTTGCCGGTTTTCTAAGTGGTATTAGCAAGGTTTAGTGCCATCTAYAGTATTTGTGACACTAATACCCAGTCAGCAGATTCAATAATGAAATCTGACATCATCATTTACAGTCATGGGGATTCCATTCCATTTGTGATTTAAAGTCTCAATCACAAATCCATACATCTTTGTTTTGATTTTTTTGACCTCGAGAATTGTCTTTTGCTTCTCACACATAGTTTATTTCTCATCTGAGCTCTACATATGATACTCATGTAGGGAAATTTCTTAAGCACATTTTCTGTCTTGTAAGAACTAAGGTTCTTAACTTCCTTCCTTAACCAAGGTTACTAAATATTTTACAGATTGGRTGACTGATTAAGAATCCTGTGTTCATAAATAATTTGCAAGGTTAAATATAACCAATCTTCTAGTCTGATTTAAGAATAAATGGAGCTCTAAGTACTTGAATTAAGAAGAGAGGCCTTCTGATAGAACTCAGTAAGGGTGAAATCATTATAAGKGCTGTCTGGGGATGCAGTGGGTCAATACATGTAAAATACACACACATGAGTTAATATGACACACAAGCACTTGGCACATAAGAGGCACTCAGGGATTGCTAGCCATTATTGTAGCTCCTCGTCACCTTTGGCACAACAGACCTTTTCTTTCAATAGGTGCAAATAAAAACCCAGCACTTTCGTTGACCCGGTAGGTCTTCTTATCAAACTCCAACGTGGGTTCGTCCTCRGTGTCACTGATGGTGACCTTCGCCTGGGTGAACTCCCCTAAGAGGGCATATGCCGGCAGGCTGAGCTCCACAGCGAAACTCTCAACACCCTCGAACACGTCATCGTCATTGATGACGATGGTGCAGGACTTGGTATCTTCTCGCTCATCAAACTGTACCTGCCACAAAGGAAACAACAGGAGCCTAACCTCAGCATCCCTTGCTGTGGTCCCCAGGAGTATCCTGAGCAAAGAGTTCTCAAGTCCAGTGGGTCGAGAACTGACTTGAACAGCAGGATCTCTAACCCCTCTCCTTACAGCATACCTGGGGCACTCAGCCACCTGGTCCCATTCTTCTCCTGGACCTTTGGGCTGATTAATTGTAGGAGGCCTGAAGGGCAGAGCTGCCTCCTACCATTTGGTGACTGAAGAAACCCAGTTAATAATTACTCATATCCTGTTTTCTTAACTCTCTTGGGATAACAATAGCCATCATTTGATTACTTAGTCCTCCTCTTCTTTTGAGGCAAGTTTAACAATAAARACCTCTGACCTTGGAGTATGAGGTTCTAGGCTCAGCTTCTGATTCTGTTATTTCCAAGCTGGGTAAAGTTATAAGACTTTATGAACATCAGATTCTTCATCAGCTAAATAACAATAATAATTTTCCCATTTTWCATATTTATTAGAGGATCAAGAATAATTTAAAGCACCGAACAAATATATTATCATTACTGTGACCATATTACTCAGATAATTAAATTTGACATAGAATCTCATTGCACTAATAATAGAAGTTAATTCATAGAAAGTTATTTAAACGAGCCCAACTAATTTCAACTTTAAATTTAACTAAATTCTTTGCCATTAAAATGGGCTAAAACTATAACATGAATAAATTTAGCCTGATATGAAATGGAGAAATTATTTTATATGCATACAATTGTAAACTTATGGGAATTTTTCTGGTTTTACCTTGTTGAAAAAGAAAAAGAGAGAGGAAGAAGGAAAGAAGGAAAGAAAGAAGGGAGGGAGGGAGGAAGGGGAAGGAAAGAGAAGGGAAAGGAAAGGAGGGAAGATAAATCCTTCAAATGAAACCTGACATATGAACTTGCCAAGAACTAAAAAGGCAGGAGCTATACTTTGTGCAAACTACAAGTTTAAAAAATAGTTAAATATTCATAAACATCTAGGGCCATGAATATCTGAAAAACAGAATTTTAGTCAAACAGAGAATTATTAGCATCTATCTACTTGATTAATCAAATTAAGTTTTTTCTAAGCTCCATATTTCAAATCACCCCCAAGAAAATGAAAATGAAACACTCAATAGATCTCYATTTAAGATCTAGAAACCATTCACAGTCCTTTGTCTTTTCTTGGGGGGAAAATAAAAACTACGAGAACATGCTGTCTTAGCCTTTTTCTAAAAGATCCTTTAGCTTATCTGTTCTTTTCTAATTCTTCATTTAAATTGAACATAAGAGGGCTCAGCTTAGTCCAGCTGATTTCTGAGCTCAATTAAAGGTTCCAGTCCACTTTCTCTTACAGAGATTTGTGTCACCATAGAATACTGAAATTGCTTTCAAAATACATTGAGTAAGTATTAAATGCCAAGCATAAAGGAGGACAAATACAGGGCCCTTTGCCCTAAAGGAATGGACTATTTTCCTTTCTCCTCCTCCTCCTCCTCCTCCTCTTCTTCTTCTTCCTCTCTCTCTCTCTCTCTCTCTCTCTCTCTCTTTCCCAAGGCTTCGCTCATGCTAAGCACACACTGTATCCTGAGTTACATCCCCAGTCTCCTCACAACTCCTTCTTCTCGCTCATTGTCACCTTGGTGCTAAGGACCATAGGCACATAGATGACTTGCAAATTTCTCTCTCTACCTTAGACTCCTTCCCTCAGTCCCTGCCCTTCTATTCATCCATCTACCTGCTGTTTCTAAGGCAACTCATACTTAACATGTCCAAGGCAAAGTCACAGCACCACACCTGTCAAATTGGCTCCTCTTCTATGTAAGAGGCATCACTATCCATCTCTCCCTTCTGCCCCACTATCTAATCCACTGCTAAATCCTATCAATTCTTACTTATCTTTCCAATCCATTCACTTCTCTCCAACTATCTAACTGAAGCCCAAGCTCCCATCATCTTGGACCTTGATGGATCAGGTAAATTCAGGGATCAGGTCTGCAGCCCACCTACCTGGCCAGCATACTCCACGTAGTCCTGCTGTCCAGGCTGGGAGCTGACCCTGGAGCTGGAGCTGGCTGTGCCTTGCTCAGTGCGGCACAGGACGATGGCATACTGGTTCAGGTTCCCCGTCCTCTGCACAGTGACGCTGACAGACCCTGCCTTCTCACTGACATTGTAGCTAGGAACACACAAAAAGGCAGTCACTGAAAATCAGCCCCGTTTCTGTGAAGAAACCACTTGTTCAATGCCTGGCTCATCTGGTTATTGGTGTTAGGCAAAGAGGCAGTTTTGTGCCTTCAAGAAGCCCCATGGGAACTAAGGAACCTTTGTTTACTTGGAACACACCCACACAAATGGACCAGGACACTAAGGATGTAGACCTTTGCCCATTTTGAAAAAGAGCTGAGTCAGATATTTACAAAATGGACAATACATAGGAGCCATGAACTTCAGACTTCAGGACATGGAAAAATTACAATCTTTCCCTCCTGGGGGAGARTAATCAGAATAGGCCAGTGGGTTTTTAGGGAAGGTGTGCAGAAGGCTAGTAAAGACTTAGCCAAGGTGGAAACTGACTGAACTAGATCAGGGAAATGTATAAGGAAGCCAGGACAATACTAGAAGTGAGAGCATGAGACCCGAGCCTCAGGTGACAAAGKCATTGAGACAAATGAAGTTTTATGTCAATGAGGAGGAGATGGGATGAATTTAGTATACTGCTAGGGATCTGAATTGCTTTTCCAAGTTGGAGGCTAATGAAGGTCATTTGCCATTAACTCATAAGAGTCTAGATTTGTAAAGGCCACAGGAGAGTAGGGAGTGAGCTGGCCATTGTTTTAAATCACCCAGGATAGCCACTGGATCTTGGTTTGAGTCTTGCTGCTGTGAGGGTTTTAGGCAAAATGCCCCTGCCATTGTCAACTCCAAGACCCTCTCTATTACTCAGTCCATCAAACCTTAGAGGGTTAGACAAAAAGGGATGAGTCCGACTGAATTTATGTAACTTTGAAGGAGAYGCAACCAAAAGGCAAATAATAGCAAAACACTATATTTTAAAGTTGATTCTCACTGTTTCGTAATTCTCCAAGTGTGTCTAAGAGTAGAAGAGCCTTTGTCTGGGACCAGGAAAGCAAGTTTATACCTGAGTTCCAATTTGAACATGACTTGTCACGAAATTGACTTCTTAGGGTAGTGAGTTTCTGTATATAAGTTTAAAGAATTATTTGGCCCAGAAAAAWTAATAACCCTAGTTATAATTTAACCTATGTGCATCTTCCACCTTCACCTATCAGTGTCTCTCTGTTTGCCTCTCCAGAGGCAGATGAGGAAAACACCTTCAAGAGCGGACCACATTACATCGTGACTTTGATATACAGTTCTGTAGAAATAAAAGGAGCTAGGGGAGAATACAAGTATGAGGAGAACAGAGAGAATACAGACAGAAGGCGAGGATCTTGTTGTTGTTGGCCAGGATTATTCTCCAAACTTGATTGTCTTTTTAAAAATTTACTATCAGTTCTACTGGATTGTTTTTAAAAACTTGAAGACAGAAGTGAAAAATACTTGTAAAGGAGGCAGGAAAGCACAATGGTTTGAGCTTAAATCCTAGTTACTTTGTGAGCAAATTACTTAACCTTTTTCTGTTTTTATTGTTTTGCTGCTGTGGGGATAAGAAGAGGTTTAATCTCAAAATTGCAAGTAAATAAGGTGATGTGTGTCAAGTACCAATTACAGTGCCTGGTATGTACAGTATTTAATAAATATTATTATTATCACTGCCATCATCACCATTGTTACCACCACCACTACCATTCTTCACAGGTAACCAGAACTGTGCCCCCGCCCCAAGTCACCCTGATTTCTTCTAATTTCCTCATTTGTTTCTTAACAAGCATAGTAACTTGTACCTGGTGTATTTAAAGCTGATGAGGGACCACTGGATATGGAAGACATTATCATTGACCACATTGGGCTTACTGTCTTTCACCAAAAACTGAAAACTGTCCATCAGCGCGTGGATTTTCTCCTCACGCAACACATAACGAATCAACCCCAAGTTCACATCCTCTGTGAGAAAAAAGACTCAATATGAATGCACTGGGAATTAACATGGAGATACAGAGACAGCCTCATATATCCCCAAACCAACACATCTAGGTTCTTCTTCTCATGGGTCATGGACAGACCTTATTTTTCCAAGGACAAAAGATGAAATAGTCTTAATTTAACATAATTTTTCCCTCAGATTTTAAATAAAGTTTAAATAAAAACAAAAGCCTTGTCTTTATGTACAGAAAGTACTCTCATGCTGTTGGAAAGCAAGAATCTTAGGGTCTTGACTGAAAATACTTCATAAATAACTGTAGAATGTTGAAGGGCAAATTCAAGAGTTGGCAGAGAAGTCTTTGGCTGTGTGTAGCCTCACACTCAGTCCTAATTCTTTCAAGAAGGTTCTTTGGAAGGTACCTGATAATGAGAAAAACTGGAAGTGGATTAAAACAACCCACACACAATGTACAAGTAAAAATGTGCTAGGAGAGCTGAGCACAGTGGCTCACGCCTGTAATCCTAGAGGCTTGGGGGCTGAGGCAGGAGGATCTCAAGTTCAAAGTCAGCCTCAGCAAAAGCAGAGCAACTCAGTGAGATCTTATCTCTAAATAAAATACAAAATAGGGGGCTGGGGTTGTGGCTCAGTGGTAGAGCACTCGCCTAGTACTGGGTTCGATCCTTAGCACTACATAAAAATAAATAAATAAAATAAAGTCCTTGTGCCCTTCTACAACAAAAGAAAAATATTTTTAAAAAATTCAAAATAGGGCTGGAGATATGGCTCAATGGTCGAGTGTCCCTGAATTCAATCCCTTGGTACCAAAAAAAAAAAAAAAAAAAAAAAGAAAGAAAGAAAGTGCTAGGAGAGAATACATGATTGAGGACTAGGAGGTAAAAAGAAATATGGAGCATAATATTTAAGATGTAGTGTGGCAATGACTGTTCCCAATCAGTCCCATCCTCAAAAGAGGACTAGAAGAAAAAAAAAATGTAAAACAACCTGCTTTATGAAATCCAAACAGGAAACTGTTTCTGTTGAGCAACCTATACACATGGACTTTAGTTTCTCAACTAAAAATTTGATTAAAAAAAATAACAATAGAAGCTAGTTGCTGTGGTGTGTGCCTCTAGTCCCAGTTATTCAGGAGGCCAAGGAGGGACAAACGCTTGAACACAGAGGTCTGAAACCAGCCTGGGCAACATAGTGAATCACCATCTCAAAACAAAAAATAAAAACAAAACAAACAAAAGCAACCACTATAGTTCTTAGAGAATAAAAATTAAGTCACACAGGACCATAGATCTCTCATAAACTCTGGTTATTGTTTGTTTTTAAAATAAACCAACAGTGACACCATATCCTTTCCAGGAAACTTGGCCAAAACCTAAAGGGAGGACTTAGTAAAGATGATTGACTGTTTGCCATAGTTTAAGAGGGGGGAAAAAGGAGCAGTAAAGTTGACAAGGTGGATGCTAGACACTGAAAGATCTACTTGTTTGCAAACAGGTTTCTTGGGCATTAGTAGCTGCAAGTGACTATGAGAAAGAACAGGGGGATACAGAGAGTGGCATCTGAAGATTTCCCATTTCTCAGTTCCCGGGGTCCCCACCCTGGGTGAAGGTGGAAGCAGCCCTGCCCGGCTGCAGCTTGTTCTCCACGTGGCCGTGCTTGGGGCCCGTTGTTATCTCATAGACAAGCTGGGAGTCCTCCGTGTCTGGGTCCATGGTCAGCAGTTCTTTCTTAGTGATCAGGTTGGTTGCCTGGAATAGAAACCAATTAAATTTAATTCCTGAAGTGGGAATTAAAGCAGGAACGAGACCCTCTGACTCAGATTTAATTCTGTTCAACAGTGATTTACTGAGCGCATTTACCACCTGGAAAATTCTGTCAGGACAGAGGATGCTATGAGGATAGAATCTCTCCCAGCCTCTGTCCTCGAGGTATTCACTTTATTGGGAAAGAGAGGCTCAGGAGCAAGGTCAATATGGCAAGAGCTATAATGGAGATATAAAAAGAAGGCTAGAGACTTTTTGGGAGAGGGAGAGATTAATTCCACTGAAAGTGAGCAGAGAGGGATTTGAGGCAGGGAGATTTGAGTTTGGCTTTGAAAAGAAGTTGGAACTTTAATAAAAGAACCACACAACGCAGAGAAGATGGCTATTTTAAATCTTACAGGAACCAAATGCATTGTTTGAAATTGAATAGGATAAATGCACCAGACCCTCCCCACCGATCCCCCGAAACATTACCCAATATACTGGCTAAACTTTACTCATTTATTCAACAAATATTTAGTGAGAGCAAATATCTGAGGAAAGAAAGAGGGTAACCAACAGCATTAAATGTCAGTAGGTTCAGTAAGATAAGGGCAGATAATGGGCTTTTGAATTTAGCAAAATAGAGGTCACTGGTGTAGGGTACAAGTGGATGGTGGAAACCAAACTGGTGAATGAGAGGAACAGAATCATTGTGAATATTGAGGGGGAAGAGTCAGATAGGGCATAAGAGGAATCTGCACTAATGCTGTTCATTTTTAGAAACTGAACCAGTTTAGTAGGAAGCTCCTGAGCAACAGTTACACCCAGGACAACTAATCAGCTCCATGGAGAGGAAAAACCAGCCGCAGCCTCGAGGGAATACCACCCACCCAAGTAAGAAATCAGTTCTGAACTAAGATGAAGAAACGCATATGTGTTTGGGTGCAGATGTGGATTTAGTGTGTAACATGTTACCAGGGGCAGATTGTGGCATATACCTTAAAATGACCAAGTTGAGAGAAAGAAATTTATAAAATAGAATTCCTCTGTTACAAAAAAACACCAACTTCTTTCTCATTTTTGGCAGGTATTAAGTTTTCCAAAGTCCACTCTCCCTCTCTGCAGTTAAGAAAGTTAGAACTGAGCACCCGCCTGCTAGGCTATGAAACTCGCTGGGCCTTGTGGCCAATTTCTTGACACTAGAAAATGAGCACAAGTGACATGTCCAATTTCTGTATCTCACTTGCAGACTGATACAGAAAAGGATACCTAAAGGATGACGCTTAAAATGAAGTGCCTCGTCCTTGACTTCTCCCTCTTTTTCTTTTCCTCACACTGGAATGTGGATGACTTTGAGAAAAAATRTGGCTATGGAGTCAACAGCGACCCCCCAGTAATGGCAGAATAATAAGATGGAAGGAGTCTACATCACTAACTGGTCAGGCAGAACTCTAGACTGAACTCTATTTCCACCCTAAAATATATGTGAAAACAAGCAAAAGCTTCCACCTTGTTGACCTAGCACATTTCGGGGGTACTTTTGTATTAAACTGTACATAACCCTTTTTTAAAATATTCTGTCCACCATAATATATATTAATTTGTATTAACATATTTTACTTATACAGAATAACKGGGTTCATCATGACATAGTTACCCAGGCACATAACATACTTCAATCATACTCATCCCCCATTACCCTCCATTCCATCCCTTCCCACCTCCTCCTGATCCCCTCCTCCTCTCTAATAGTGTCCCTGTTACTTTCATGTCATCTTTTCTCCCTAGATTCTACATTTGAAGTAAAACCTGTGATACTTGTCTTTCTGAGCAAGACTTATTTTGCTTAACATCATATCTCCAGTTCCATCCATTTTTCTGCAAATAATATGATTTTATTCTTCTTTATAGCTGAATAATACTCCATTCTTAAACCACATTCAATCTCAACCAATCCTGCACCATCTTAGCTCATAAGGAATCCTAACCAAGTTCATGGAGCTTGCCAATCTTAGGAAAATCAGCTCGTTAAGGGAGTAAAAATCATGAGTTGAACTGGAGTAGATGGGACAGGCCTTACCTTGCCATCCATATACTCCAGCCACTGGAGTCCCAGGTTGGTGACTATCCTAGGGGTGCCATCATCCACTGGGAGGATGTCCACTCGGAACTGCTGAGGTGCTGCTGTCATGATCTGCAGGGGCAGAAAGGAAACTCAACATCGACAGATGTTCATGGTGCTGGGGATGGACGAGGGCCTCCTACACACTAGGCATGCACTCCAGCTCTGGGCCATACCCCAGCTCCTGCACCATCGCCATGTTTATTTGAAATCAACATTGTCCCAAGATAAAATAATACAGAGTATTTTCCTTCCAATGACCTTCTTAACACTTTCATCAGGCCTGACAAAAATGATCTTTAAAATGTTAATGTTGACATCCAGGTGCGATTGATTGTCAGACATAAAAAGAGGATTCCATGGGAAAAACATTTTCTTTTTTTCCCTTTTCCTCTTCTAGGATTTTGTTCTTGTTCTTGTTTGCTTGTTTGTTTTGAAGGAAAGTAATTCTCGGGGTAAGGGACAGGGAAAAAAAAATCAAGAATAAAAGCACTTATGGAAAGAGTAAACAGAAGTTTAGTTTACAGGTGCGTGCGCGTGTGCGCACACACACACACACACACACACACAGGGCACCTTGCTGTCCCTGAGTGGCCACCTTGAACCTGAACAGCAGGATGCTGGCTTTTCAATTTCCTATAACAATTATTTCCTAAATAATTTTCCTTTTTAAAATGACCCTTGCAAGACCTGCTGTAGTCTTTTCTGTTTATAAGAGGGGCAGCCCTCTTACTGAGACATCTGAAATCTTTATTCTCTTTTGAAAGTCAAACTAACTGGGGAGCAGGGACACTGGGAAAGAAGAAACACAGTGACAGCTGCCAGGCGGAGCTGCAGTGCAGGGAAATCCCAAGAGCCACCCACTGCACCGGTCAGCTGAGAATGACCTTCTGTTTGTCTGTGAAGGACACAGCAAAATCTTTCAGAAAAACAATGATCATCAGCAAGGGAGAGAAACTCTGCAGGACTGAGTGTAGATCCTCCCACTATCCTGGAGGTCCAGTAGGGAACAAGCAAGTTGCTCATTAAAACCGCTGAGTCAGATATAAAGGATCGGGGAAGAGGGACACCCCCAGCCCAGAAGGGCATTTATGGTACTGCAGGAGACCTGTTAAGAAATGAAGGAATGAGGAAATGGCAGGGAAGGTAGAGAAGGGAATCTTGAAGTTTCTTTTGGATACCTATGGGTCGGGAAGGATTCATTCTTTCAGGATGGAGAATTTGGCAATTGCATAATTGAAAGAGAAAAAAACCTCTTACTGGTTACATAAGCTGGTCCTGAAATGATGGTGACAATGACGATTATGGCCACGGATTATCTGATGGTTCCCGTGTGCCAGGCATGGAACTAAGTGCTTTATGTACACCAGGAGGGTAGGTATCACTCCCACTTTACAGATAGGGAAGCTGAGACTTAGAAAGGTTTAATGATTTACAGACTCATACAGCTTGTAAATGACAGAGCAGAACTGAAGTCAGTATCTTAAGAGCATGATTAAAAGTCATGCTCTTAACTGCTGTTATTTTTCAGACAGAGAATCTCTGGTTGGATTGAGGGTCTTAGTCCAAAAACAGAGAGAGAATCTAGAACCACAAGATATTATTGAAAAACCAGATGAAAGGAAAACTCAAGGAGTAAAGAGTGGGCAAAAAAGGAGAAATAACAGCATTAACAGCAATTATCATCTTTTATTAAATGTGCACTTTATGAGGATTACCTCCTTTGATCCTCAAACTATTTGAAGCTGGCAATTATTACTGTGCCTGTTTTACAGATGAAAAACCAAGGCTTGGAGAAAGAAGTTAAGTAATTTGCCCAAGGCCAGTATATTTCTGAGCTCACAGTCTCAACTGCACGTTATGCCAGATAGAAAAATCCATGTGCTGCCCCACCTCAGGAATGTGTTTCCAGGTCTCTCCCTCTTTACCTTTACCCCTCACCTCTTTTCCTCCTTCCTCAATGATAAAGAAGGGGTTCTTCCCATCAGAAACAGTAAAGGAGAAGCGGTCTTTGAGGGAGTTGCTGCCATCATGGCTGTAGCTGATCCGGTTCTGGTAGATGTCTTCCATGGTGAACGTGGAGCTGAGGTGGAAATGCTGCCCCCTGGTGGTCCTCTCGATGGTGCCGTGGCGTGGTGGCTGCACAATGGTGAAGGTGACAGAGTCAGCCTGCCCAGGATGGAAGGGAAATTGACAAGAGAAAGCTGATGAGTGATTGGTGGCCAACAGGTGACCAAAGGTAATAGAACCTAAAGACGTTTATCAAATAGGGTTGCATTTTATAATAGATACCCAAAACAAAGTGAAAGAGAGAAACCATCTGTTTTACCCAATTGGTCTTAAATTCTGGTGCCTTCAGTTATAAAGCTAAAATATTTAATTTCTTCTCTTCAGGTCATGGGGGGAAGCCTAAATTTTTAACTGCTACCAGGATGACAGGAAACAGACCTTTTAAACCATCCAGTTGCTTCCCACCTATTTTCCTCGTTTTTTCCCAAACTTTTATCTGTAGAATCCCATATGCATCATAACAGAAGTGAATCTCTCATCTCTAATTGCTGATTCTAAAGGGACCTATTGAAGGAAAAAGAGATGCCTAAAACCTTGCTCAGGAGTTTTTAGCAAGTTAGAGTAAAATGCCGAGGCTTGACCTGAGCCAACAAGGCCCTCTGTGACCTGGTTCAGACTCCCTCCCTGGCCTTAGTCTTGCCTCCTGCCTGTTCCTGGGTTTCAGCCTCTTGGTCTCTTGTAACCTTTGCTGCAATTCTCAGGATATAAGGGCATTTGACTGCAGCACTTTTGCATTTTGGGCTCGTCTACCTGGAGAGTGAATTTCCCCAGGTAACTGCATAGCTTGCTCTTTCTCTTAATGATATCCCTGCTCAAATATGACCTCCTCGGAGAGGCCTTCCCTGACCACTCTAATAGCACAGCCATTAATCTCTATCTCCTTTACCTCACCTTTTATGTTTTTCTTCATAACACTTATCATATCTGACAGGATCTATTCTTTTTTTACTATCTTTCCCCTCAACCAAAGGTTGCAAACTCCTGAAGCCTAGAACTTTATCTGTTTTGCTCACAGCTCTGCTGTTACCATCTAGAGCAGATCCTAGAGCCAAGACATAATAGATATTTGATCAAGAATGAATAAATGAATGAATGAGTGCACAGAGAAGGATACACATGATTCTGTATTATAGTCTTACTGTATTATAGTAAGTGTAATGTGTGCTTTCAAACAAACTGAATTGTGTCCGAAGGTTATAATTATAAATATATTATAAATTATATTATAATTTATAATTATAAATAAAGGTTATAATTATTAAAATATTATAAATTATAAATATATATTATAWATATAAACTGGAAGCATCATGAGAACAAAGGCTTAGTCTCCATATGCCCTGTTGGGTGTATGAAGCCTAGTCTTTGAGGATGTTCAGATTGTGATACTCACTGCCATCAGAAAGGTCTGGATCAAGGGGCTGACATGGAGGCAAAGGTGCACAGGTGCAGAAAGTCCCTGTTCATTTTAATAGGGAACAATAAAAATACCAGGTAAAATGCCATCCACCTGATTTTCTATGAATCATAATAAAAAGCCAGCATGTTAAGAGGATTGCTACATGTAATCAGGGGAGAGGATGAATGTACTTAGGATTTCAGGGAGGGTTTAAAAATGGTTTGATCCTAAATGTATGAGTTCCCCTTTTCCAGAAGGCATGGCGTCCTCAGGGCCACGTTCCTGAGGTGCTTTCACCTCACCACTGAGCACCACCCTCAAGATGCAACAGCTACAGACCAAAGGTGGCCACCAGATCAGCCTCACTCAGCCAGAGCCTAGGGGAGCACTCTTACCTCTGTGTCTGCATCCACCGCCTTGAGCTCAAACTCCGTGATGGTCTTCCTCACGCCCTCTTGCACCCGCATCCCCCTGTTCTGTACCACAGGCAGCGAATCGTCCACAGGGTGAATAGTGATATGGAAAGTCTGAGACACCTAGGATGGCAGAAAAGTGCAGGTGGGATACCTGTCTCCAGCACTACCCCATAAGAAGGCAGGTGCTCCCTGAATTCCCTTTCACACAATTCCTGGCATGCCTGACCAGCCAGGCTCCCACAAGTGAGTACTCTTGGAAAGAGGCCAGGGGGCTGTCCGAGGGTGCCTCTATTTGTTGGCTGAGAGCAGAGGAAATGGATGCCCTCATATTACTAGTCTTTGCCGACTCCATTCAAAGACAGCAAGGAATCAATACCCACTCAAGGATGGAATCCAGAGCCTGGCTTACCTCATTGGTTCCATCAGACAGCACAAAGCTGAAGGCATCAGAATGCTTCTCCGTCTCACTAGAATGGACATATTGAACGTTTCGTGAAGTCAGGTCGGCCTGAGTAAAGGAACTAATCTGGATACCTGGTGAAAAGAGAAGAGAGAAACAGAAAGAATGTCAAAATGCTTCTAAGGCTAAGGAAAGGTCAGGCTCTCACAGGGAGAGAATGAGAGAAGTCCTTTGTATTTTTCCCTTAGCATTTATGTTCTGCCCTTGAAGACCTTGCATGAAGTGGTTTGTGATTTTTTTTTTCCCCTACAGCAGCATATGTTCTGTGGGAGACATGTTAACTTTATTATCGCAGCTTCTGTGTGCCAAGCCAACAGCAGGTGTGCCGTAAATGTTACTCTCCTTTCTCCTGGGGTTTAAGTACGCACGTAAAGTCTGTGAAAGGCAGAGCCATTGCCTTATTTTCCAAACGCCTCTCTCTTCAGTTTTACAGTCCCCTATGACCCCACAGTCCTTTCTGGAAATCTGACCTAATTTTTAATATTGTGCGAGGGGTTAGCTTTTGAACACTGCAGCTATAAGGCTTGGCTACACTTAGCCTTGCTTCTGTGATTGGTGAGCCATTCCTGGTCTCCATAATTTCACTAGATATCTTTCAAGGTCCCTTTCAACTCCCAGGACTATGATCCTAGCTTCTCATCGACAATTTTAGCCAGTCAGGCAGTAACAAAACTTTCTGCATGACTCTGGGCCTTGAATAATCATTCTATATCAAAGTGAAAATAGTCTAGAAAAATAGTATCCTTTATTAACATGATATAGAAAAAATTATGCAATTTTTTTTTGGTGGCATCATTTAAAAAAAAAAACTAAAACAATTTGAAATAATGAAAAGGTATTCCACTAACATACACCATCTGTTTTTGTACGCCTAACAACATTTAGTAAATGAGCACAGAATCCTTGTTTCCATCTTGGGGGACACGACACACACTCTGTACCAGTTCTGATAGAAACAAAACATGTATTTTTTAGTCCCTTAGCATAATTTCTCTCTTTCTGATCCTGGGTATTGGAAAATTAATCCATTTAATCAAGTCTTTAGTTTAGCCCTGAAATTCATTTGCTGCTCCCTGAGATTTATTATTTTTCATTATTAAGCCTGGCAAAACCGATCTGGCTTTTCTATGAAAAAACAGAGACTCTATTTGACTCTTATAAAGTTAAGTGTGACAAGCAGTATCTCTGCTTCACCTTAAAAAAAAAAAAAAAAAAAAAAACTCAAACCACACAGCTTACATTTGCATCTCTCTTTATCATCTGAAATTTGTCACCCAATACAATAGCCTTCTGAATATTGGGGCATTAATTTTCTGATGAGGCATTTTATATTTCTGTGCTTGCTATATCAGTTCTTGACAGGCAAGAAATGCAGCCCACTGTCTTATAGCTTTGTTTTGTGACKCTGGACAGAAATCCATACCATTTTTTAAAAATTTAATAACTTCAGAGTGACTGTACTGAGAAATTTAAATCTCTTCCCTCTGCTGTGAAACCATCCTCACAGTTCATGAGAAAATATTTATCTGGATTCTCACAATCAACTGGTCACCTATTCATTGTTGCCTTTATGAGAGTCCAAGACCAATTACAATGCTAAGTTTTTGCTTTCCTCTTGGGAAGAAAGCTCTGCGATCAATTCTTTTATATTTATTTATTTTAAAAACATTTTTTTTATTGAAGTAAAATTGACTGCAGTAAATTACACACATTTAGAGTGCACAAATTCATAAGCTTTGGCATTTCTGTGAAACCACTACCTCAATCAAAAGAGTGAATGTATCCATTGCTCCCCAAGTTTCCAAGTGACACTTCATAATCCTTCCACCCTTCCATTCTCCATCCCCAGTCCCATCCAAAAGCACTCAATGAATTGTTTCTGTCATGATAGATTCATTTGCATTTTCTCAACATTTTAATAAATAGAATCATATAGTATGTACTATTTTGGATCTGCTTTCTCTCTCTTAGCATTATTATTTTGAGATCCAACAGGTATTAATAGTTTACTCTTTGCTATTGTTGAGTAGTATTCCACTGTGAGGATGTATCATAATTTGTTTATTCATTCACCTGTTGATGGGTATTTGGTTTTTTTATTTTTTATTTTTTCCAGYTTGGGGATATTGTATATAAAGCTGCTATGGTTATTTGTGTAGTGTACAGTCTATGTATGGACCCAAGGTTTTGCTCTTGGGTAAATCTCTAGAAATGGACTGGCTGGAATATATGCTTCATTTAATTTATTTAACTTAATTAAGTACATGCTTAATTTTTTAGGAAATTGGTAAGTTGTTCTTCCAAAGTGGTAGAGCCATTTTACATTTTCACTACTAGTTTGTGAGAGCCCTAGGCTTGGTCTTAGTGAGAATTTCCCAGTTCAAAGGCATTTTAGTGGGATTTTCCCAATTTAGTCAAGCACCCACCACAGACAGAACACTATTTCACACTTGCTTATATCTGTTGAATTTTATCTGTTAAMAACTCTGGGAGGCTGAGTTAGGCATATTACTCCCATTTTTATAGATTATAACAGTAAATATAATTAAAGAGTTATGTGCCCTACTCAAGGTCACATGGCTAATAAGAGAGCAACCCTAGGGTTGAAACACAGGCAGTCTAATGCCAAAGCCTATGTCTGCTGAGAGTGCTCTCTCTAAGAGCCATCCAGACAGGAGCTTCTTGGCTTTACCCTTTTTCTTTAGCTCTCTTTCAATATAGAAGTAATACATGCCTATTAAAGAAAACGTGAAAAACACAGAAAAGTAGGAAAGAAATACACCTATCACTGAAACATCACCATTATATATATGAATCATTCCTTCTAAAATACTTTATTGACTTCAGCCTCTTTCTTGTCTGAAATTCTGATTTGGACGGAGTTTAAAATTATTTAAATGATAACCATATTTACATGCCAGAGGGAAACAAGCTGATGTCGCACGCAGGCTTCAAGGGGGCAAGGATTCTTCTTGCTTCTTCACTGATGTTCTCCTAGAGCAGTGCCTGCCACGTGTCAGGTGCTCAAACCATCTCTGGTGAATATATTTATTTATTTATTTATTTATTTATTAAAAATTCTTTTTTTTTTTTTTAAAGAGAGAGTGAGTGAGGAGAGAGAGAGAGAGAGAGAGAGAGAGAGAGAGAGAGAGAGAGAGAATTTTTAATATTTATTTTTTAGTTCTTGGCGGACACAACATCTTTGTTGGTATGTGGTGCTGAGGATCGAACCYGGGCCGCACGCACGCTGGGCGAGCGCGCTACCGCTGAGCCACATCTCCAGCCCTCTGGTGAATATATTTAGTACCTCTGCTATACTGTGTCTCTAGAAGGTTCTACTGAGCACAGATTTTCAATCCCTATACACTTTTATTTTTTAAATTTTAGCCTTTGCTAATTGGGTATTGGAAGATGTCAGCTACTCACTTGCCAGCAAGCTGGTGTTTTTTTTGAATAACGTATTTCCCTACTGGCTGTCACAGCAAGTAGTTGTTTGAAATACTTGAAGGCTTTTAATCCCATTGAAGGTGTTTTCGGTCACCAACCTGCTGGCTAAACTATATATCTGGCAGTATTACTGAGACCCACATTAACCCTGTCAGTTTTTCCAATTCCCCTGGAAGGCCTACATGTTAGAGAAGGCTCAGTCCAGGTCAGGGAAGTGGTGCGGGAATAAAGCATCTCTAGAGAAATTGCCTTCTTAACACGATGTCACGTGATGTCCCAGTCGCCTGCATTCAGCACAGCCGTGGGTGACTCTGCATTTGCTGCCTGTGTCGTGTCTTTGTTCATATTGTGGGAGACCCTCTTCTTTCCTGCTTCAGATTTTCTCTGAAGCCTCTTGTTATGGGTTGAATTGCAATTGCACCTTCTTCTTATCCCAAATTCATATGCTGGAGTCCTAACCCCCAGCGCCTCAGATAAAATCAAGTCATGAGGGTGGTCCCTGATTCAATATGGATGGCACCATTAGAAAGGGAAATATGGATACAGATCCTTATGGGGAGCATACCACGTGAGCATGAAGATGTCCACCTACGTGACAAGGAGAGATACCTGGAACACACACTTCCTTCATAGCCCTCACAACCAACCAACCCCACCCACACCTTGACCTCCAACTTCTGGCCTCCAAAACTGTGCGAAAATAACTTTTGTGGTTTAAGCTGTGCAGTTTAGCACTTTTTTAAAAACAGCATCCCTAGCTACCCATGCACCTCTCCTCTCAGGGAAAGCCCAAACTAACAACAGGTGCATCCTATTTTGGTTGGTGTCACAACATCTAAAGAAGGTGGAAGAAGAGCACACCTTTGGTAAAGCATCACCTCTGAGAAGTCTTTCCTGACAACTCCCACCCTCTCCAAGGTGGGAGATTTCCATGGTCCTCTGTCATGTTGTTGTCACAGCTACTGAGACACATTTGCACATATTTGTTTACATGTCTCTTATCTTCCAAAACAGTTTGTTTTTTTTATTTTAGTAGCTACTCAATGAATGCTTGTTGAAGGGAGGAAGAGAGGGAATAAACTGTATTAATCAGCTTTTTGTCACTATGATTAAAATACTAGACATAAACAACATAAAGGAAGAAAGACTTGTTTTGGCTCAGGGTTTCAGAGTTTCAGCACATGGCCAGCACCAGCTATATTGCTTTGGTCCTGAAGTGAGGCAGTACATAATGGTGGAAGGGCACGGTGGAGGAAAGCTGCTCTGCTTATGGCAGCCAGGAAACAGAGAAACTGGGGACAGGGCAAGGGTGGAAGGAGAGGCTGAGGATAAGAAATGTCCTTTTAGGGCATGTTTCCGATGACCTACTTCCTCCARCCATGTCTCACCACCTAGTTTTCATCACTTCCCAGTAGTCCATTCAGCTATCGATGGGTTAATCCATTGACAAGGTCAGAGTCTTTATGATCCAAGCACTTTCCAAAAGCTCCACCTCTGACCATTGCTGCATTGGGGCCTAAGCTTTTAACACATGAGGCTTTGGGGGGACTCTTCAGATCCAAACCATGAAAGAAGCCTCTTCTAATATGACAGAGTATCATGCATATAATTACATCTCAGCCTGGAA